ACAATATTTTACAAAAAAATAATAAATCAATAAACCGAAGGCTAATAATCTAAACACAATATTAATTTTATTTATTAGTAATAGTAATAATATATTAAATATATTTTATAACTTATTGATATATAYTGGTATATATGACATTACATTAAAACAATATCTGCATATTGTATATATTGGTTATTTTAGTTTTTATGTTAGCAATAAAAATTACAGGTATATCGATAAAAAAATAATATACATATAAAAAGAGTATAATAAACTTTTTTGTTGTTGTTGTTGTTGTTGTAAATACTAGTTTATAAAATATATATATACAATTTCTATTGAATTATAACTATAGATCATTAGAAACAATGTTAACCTGAGATTTAAAATTTTGATACAATTGTTTTCAAATATATATATATATATATACTCTAAATATATATTGATATTAATTAAATTGTTTTTTATAAAARTTATTCAACACGAAACCATAGATACTGGTCCAGTCGAGGTGTTAAAGGACCCAAACCGTTGCCATTGATCGGCAACTTGTATGAAGTGATTTTGAGAGCCCGACCCAATTTCGAGGTGGACAGGTATCGAAAATATGGCAAAATTTACGGGTCAGTTAGTTAGCTAATTATCTAATTGCAAAAAAAAATAACAATAATTATTGCACTAAACTATTAGATACTTTAATGGCAGCCATCCGGTACTTTGTCTATCGGAGCCGGAGCTGATCCGCGACGTTATGGTCCGTGATTTTCATTTGTTTGTCGATCGGATCAGCTTTTCGTTGGGCAGTCCTATATTTGATCGGTCATTGTTGACGGCCAGGGGTGACGACTGGAAACGTATTCGCACTATTGTTAGTTAATACTAATATATAAATACAACATTGATTTTTCTTACTAATGATTTGATGACTAACCGTGTGGTCACCGGGTATAGGTTAGTCCGACATTTTCGACGGGAAAGATGCGCAAAATGCAAGTATTAATCAAAGATAGTGTCCAACGATTGGATAAAGTCATGGAAAAGTTGGTCCAAAGCGATGATCAAAACAATGTTAATATCAGAAAATTGTTGGCCAACTATACTATGGATGTGATAGCTTTGTGTGCGTTTGCCATCAAACTGGAAACCAATGATACCGGTGCTGCTGCTGCTGATGATGATRACGATGGCGAGCATCCATTTGTTAGGAATGCCCGACAATTTTTTCGTCCATCGGCCAGATTTGCCATATTTTTTTGATTAACAAATTAATGCCAATAGTCTATAGATATTTTAGTCTATCATTTATCGATGAAAAATATATCGACTATTTTAAGACAAATGTAAGTCAAAAATAAAAATAACAATAATTATAAAATTATTTTTTATATGTTATAATAAATTTAAACAATTTTGTTGTTGTTGTTGTAAACATATAGTTAACGCAAATAATATCTGAAAGAAAGTTATCAGAAAAATCGGAAAATTTTCATAAAAATGTAGATTTTTTGCAACTATTAATTGACGCCCAAAACAAAAGTCAAGACATTATACAATCTTCTTCTTCTTCTTGCAACTCTTCGACAGTCGACACCATCGACGATGACATCAAACAAGAAGTTGAAATAATAGCTAAATCATTGAAAGACAAGTCATCTRAACTCGAAGACATTGACATATTGGCCACGTCTTTGATATTTTTGTTGGCCGGCTATGAAACAACATCATCGACACTATCGCATCTGATCCAAGAGTTAGCATTGAATCCTGATATTCAACAGAAACTATTTGATGAAATCAATGGCTTGAAAGAAATGGATGATTCAAACTATGAAGACATTGAACGGTTACCGTATTTGGACGCCTGTATATCGGAAACATTGAGACGATATTCGCCACTTGTTTTTACCACAAGATTTGCTTCAAAAGACTATGAATTGGGTATTAAAACAAATATATATAATATATAAAACTCACATAAAAAATGGGTGATTGTTATCACAAAAATCTAACTTTATTTTAAATTTTTTTTCTGAATTAATGATATATCAGGTGATACTGGTTTGACAATACCCAAGGGTATGGAGATTCATATACCCATATATGCCATACATCACGATCCTCAGTACTATCCGAATCCTCTTGAGTTCAGACCCGATAGGTTTCTGCCAGATCTGCAGAAAAGTCGACTCAACTCCTATACCTATTTGCCCTTTGGTACCGGTCCTCGTAATTGTGTGGGTATGAGATTTGCATTGATGAACATGAAGACAGCGGCCGTCCAATTGGTTAGGAAGTATCGGTTTCGTTCAACCAGTCGTACGAAATCCGAGTTTCAATACAAAAAGTTTGTTGTCTTTACGCAGGCTATCGATATGGGAACCATCGGAGTTGATCTCAGATAATAATAATAATAATTATTATTATTATTATTAGATTATTTTTTTGTGTATTGTATTTACCGTTAATTTTAAATTTATGACTTGTAATCAAAATAAAGTTTTACAATATATATATACAGTATATTCATTAAATATTTATACAAAAATTATTCAATAATAGTATCGTAATATACAATATAATTTAATTATTTTACACATTTAATTACACATTAAATTAAAAAAAAATACAATAGTTTTTTTTGAAATTGTTAATTTAAATAATTTGTAAGCACAGGTAGTTTGGGAGGATTAATCATAACATTTAACATTAACATAGAAACTATTTAGAAATATTTTTTTACCTATTGAAATGATCTTAATTGATAGAAAAAATATTTTGATTTAAATATTTTTTAAAAAAAAATCAAAATCAATAAATGCAAATAAATAACAATAATTTAATTATTAGTTAAATGGACAGTTAGTTTAACAAAAAAATAATAACAAAAACATTTTTTTAATTTGAATCAATAGATAATTCTGAATTTATATATATATTTTTTAACAAAAAAAATAAAGTAATTGTAATATAATTTACTTATAAACACCAGAACCGGTATTTGAGTTGACAGTATTGATCGTTTGGACCGATGCTGTCGAGTGTGTCCGCAAAGTTGCCGATTCACTAATTTGCGGCAATTTATTACTACCACTACTACTACTACTTGAACTGCTACTACTTTCCGATCGTTTCGACTTATTGGCCACAGTTTTCGATAGCTTATAGCCGGCAAATATGCCCAAACCTACCAGTGCCCAGGCTATGAATATTATTACCATTAGTACGATAATTATGTAAATAAATGTATTTGAATGACTGCTGTCATCGTCGCCGTCGGCATCATTGGTCGTCGTAATACTGGTGTTTGTTGTGGACAACAATGGCCTACTGTTATCTGTGATGGACATTGTGTTAATCGGACTGTCCGTTACGGCCGCTGTGACCTCTGTGGTGGTGGTGGTAGAAGTAGTAGCCGACTCTGTAGTAGTGGCCGCTGTTGTAGTGGTGGCCGCTGTTGTTGTAGTTGTAGCCGCTGTTGTAGTGGTGGCCGCTGTTGTTGTGGTGGCCGCTGTTGTAGTAGTTGTGGTCGTAGTAGTCGTTGATGACGGCGTCGTCGTCGTCGTCGTACTGGTGGTAGTTGTTGTCAATTGAGTAAAATTGTCGCAATCGGCAATCAATTCGCCGATATCTTTGACCAAACAAAACGGCGACCATTGATCGATCAATATCTTCATTCGACACCACTGTCGGCCGGCAAACATATGCCACCAATGGTCGTAAACAAACGCTGCGGTAAACTTCTGTCCATTGAGTTTATACAACGGTTTGCCAATTGTTTCGACATTCGGATCAGCTCTGTTGACCATTTTTATCATCAACTGTCCATCACTGCCGTTCATTAACCGCATTATGTATCTGATAGTATAGTCATAGGTGGACACTTGTAGGACTCTATTCTCATAATAGCCGAGATAGTGGACATAGAGCGGACCCGACGAATATCTGACCGCTTCGAACGTTTTCTTAACCTGTTTGGCCACTTGTTTGCGTAGTTTGCGATTCTTGTAGACCGTCCAGACCAACGACTTCCGAAAGTTATACAAATCAAACTCTACTTCGCCATCCTTGAAGAACGACATATCAATCGGTCCGACAACCGATACGTCTATTGTGGACAACAATTTTTCCGCCCGAAACCGGACACGACCTGATGTATTGAAAATGTCAAATTCGTAGTATTTGTTGCCGACATAGAGTGTAATCGTTGGCCGACCTGCGGGTATCAGTTCGCTAAGTACCGAATCTATGGACAACTGCTGACGGCTTTTGTCGCAAAACATTGAGTCCAATTGAGTCGCCGATTCAACCAGTAATTGTCGGTTGATATCGATGTTGAAGATAATACCGATGATGACGACGATTACGGTAATTATAGTATTTATGGCAAACATACTGTACTTTATTTTTTTTAGTTTTTTTTTTACTATTGTGTGTATTATATTTATTTCCGTTAAACTTAATAAAAATAATATAAATTATAATTGATTTCAAAATATTGAATAATTTTTTTTTAGCAATTTGTTTGTCTATAACGCGCGTGCGATTAAATCGATTGTCTAAAAAAAACACACGAGTTATTTAAATAAACACGTTTTAAAACAATATTTTATTAAATAAATGCTAATTATTTTATTACCTATTATTTAGTTTTATGAAAAGGGGATGATTTTGGTTATCAATGATAATATAGTTTGCATTTATTGATAATTTTTATTTAAAAAAAAAAACAGTTATAATAATAGCATTAAGTAGTACTGTATACTAATATTTTGTTAAATACTAAATTTTGAAATAAATTTGAAAAAATTATATTTAAACACAAAAAAAAACATATTATTGACATCATATTAGTGATAGTGTGTGAATGTCAAAATAGACAATTAAATAATAACTGTTCCCAACATTCCCCCCCTCGGGAGCTATAAGTTTGGACAGTGATAGTAGTGAACGATACCAATTGGAAAGGTTAGGTCTGACACCGACAAAAAAAAAACGATACTGACTGATCCGATTGGATGGACAGTACAGACAGTAGCGATTCAGATGGCACTACTGATAATAGCCAGAATCAAAATGAGACAAATGCTATACGACTAGTAGAGCCGGAACCGGGAGATAGTGATGAACAGTTAGATGAACAACAATCCGATGATGAAGAACAGGTCGTCAACGAAGCCGAGGATGAAGACAACGACGGCGGCGGCGGTAATCTGTGTCCCATATGTCACGACAGAGTCGTAAATCAGTCACTGGTTTATCGATGTTTGCATGAATTTTGCTTTCAATGTCTCAGTGATTGGTCCGAACGGAACAACACTTGTCCGGTATGTAGACAACGGTTTACACATATTGTAACCAATATCCGGTCGGACACTGACTATGATTTGGTTGCCGTAACTGTTAGGAGTAGATCCCATTGGAGAAGACTTAGTCGTCAGCGTAATCGTGGCCAAAGAGACACTGAGGAGGAGGTGGTGGAGGAGGAAGAGACAGGAAGTCCTAGAAGACGATCGCGTAGTACAAGACGTCGTGAAAGAGAAGAACGACGACAAAGAATAAGTGATAGAAGACGAAGAAGAAGAAGACGACGACGAGTAAGAAGTAGAGGAGGAATACAAAGAAGATTAAGTGGTAGAAGAAGAAGAAGCAGAGATTGAATACAAATAAAGAGTAATCTAAGAAAAAAAAACAATTTGTTTGTCCAATACTTTTCAAATCAGATTTCAATAGTTATAGTTATTTTTGTATCAATCATAAGAATTGTTTGAATTTTTTTTTAGTAAAATACAGTAGTATTTGATAAATAAAAAAAAATATGAGATTATATAATATTTAAACTTATCACGAAAAGAGAACATATCTGAATTCTATGTGTCTGTCTGTCTGTCTGTCTGTCTGTCTGTCTGTCTGTCTGTCCGGTGTCTTACATAAGTCAAAGGTTCGAATCCACGCTCTGCTAAACTATTTTTTTCAAAAGTTGTTTTTTAATTTTTTTAATTGTTAATTAAAAAAAAATATTGTGTCCGATATTTTGTTGGTCTAATTTAAAAATAATAATTACCTCAAATAATTAGTCTCTTTGAATGGGAATATTGTTTTTAAACACATATATTGTTATTTCTAAAGTATTTAAAAATAAAAATAAAATTTTTTATTACTATTGTAACGTTTTAAAAACTATTAGAAGACTATAGGAAAAATCAACCGTAATCTACAGTTCCTGTCTGTGAATAATATAGTTCAAAATAGATCCAAATCAATGAGCCATAAGTAAACAACATTGAGTTCTATATACCTTCAGTAAAAATTCCAATACTACTACATCGATAGCAAATGTCATGTTGTAATTTAATATTTCAATAAAAACACGACCGTCTAATCTGTCTATCCAACCATATTTAATTGTATTTATTCCTACTGTAAAATGAAAATAAATTAAATACACTAATTAAATACTACAATTTATATAATATATATATATAATAAAGCATACTCGAAGATACAATTTGCAGCAGTTAGGCTAGTTTGATTATTAAGTATGATTTCTTCACACTTAATCTCTCCATCCTTATCAATGAAACCATATAAGTTATCAGTCAAATTAACGACACCTTACCAATATATTGAATATAAAGTAACTTTATTTTATTTATATAACATTATTAGTTATTAAATATTAATGAAAAAGAAAATATTTCAATATTGATAAAACAGTTAAATGACTGATAACAAGTACCAGTGGAAAAATGGATTAAAAACTTGTTATTATAAAATTATATTTAATACTTTCATACAAACACTTTTAATGGCATCTGTTCTGAAAGACATTTATTGTTTTATTTATTTATACGAGAAATATAATAATGAATTTACTCCTAATTTTCAACCAAATAATGATGATAATTTAAAGCATATATTAGAATTTATTGATAATATGTCTATTTTATTTCTAAAAAACTTTAAACAAAAATACAATTAAACATACATTTTTTAATTTATTTTTGGCAAAAATCTTTGAAAGTATATAATTTATTTAATTGAATAAAATATTTATTTTTTTTATTTTAATATTTAGAAACAAAATGCGACCAAAAATATTTAGACCACCACCATTTCGATGGCGGATTTGTGACGTTTTTTATTCATGGACATTCACGATCACCTCAGATCAGATCATCCATATATAAATATTAAAAAATGTTATATATGTCATAGTTTATCACTGTATTTACATCATTGTATACAACATTATCAACATTTAAAATTAATACATAAAAAATGCTTATACACATTCATGTGATGTCTGGTATAATAGAAGACCTCTTCTAAAATGGCCGACTCCAACAAATGGTTTGTATTTTTAAATTAATTTTTATTATATTTTTTAATAGTTTGCGCTAATAATAATGCATACAAATGCTGTCTTTGTGGATACGAAGACTGGGTCAAATTTTCCGTCAAATTGGATATTATACGAAAGCGCTTCGTATAAATGCAAAAGCATGTGGAGATGTCCGAAAATTTTTACAGTTTTAATCTTGAAGACGAAAGCTTTGAACAACAATACTATTTTGRWTTAATTTTTCTAATTTATAAAATATATTATTGTCTATTGTATAATTTAGATTAATTTTATTTTAAAAATCTAATATTATTTTTCAAATCTGGTCAAGAGGCTTTGTGTTAACTCCTACACAAAAAACAGTAATAGATGTATATGTTGATACTATATTTAAATAAAGTAATTAAATTATTAACTGCGGTTTTCAGATATACTAGCGACTATATAGCTGTTAACCATTCCCTCGGTAAACGCGACAATCACTACCAATTTTAATGTAAAAGCGTATGCGGCTTTTCTCATCCCACTGCTGCCATCAAAGAATATGTGGCCACATCTCAATCACCTATTCAGGCCTCAGTGACCACATTCATGGTCGGTGCTTTTTGGCGCCCGGCCGTCCGATACTCGTATATGTATGTATATGTCTATATATATATATATATATTACAAAACTTAATGTTATATCAAAATCCAATGTAATAATTTTTGATAAAAATGTTTTATTGAAAAATCATAATTAGCAGAAAAACTTTATACAAAACTTTGAGCACAAAAACCTGAATGAATCTTAATATATCCAAAACAAGTGATTATATAATTTAAAACTGGATGAAGAAGTTTAGCGTAAAGTTGATGAAGAGAATGAAATTGAGAAGCTTCGTTCATGGATAGAAAGCCACAACATCATTATTAAGATTTGAATATCAATTTAAAATATAAATTATATATTCTTTATGTTCTATATATTAATCAAATAAATCATTCTTACGCATACTAATTTTCTATTTATATTTTTCAAAATTTGCTATTTACTAAGCTTTACTTTATTCCATATTAAAACGATAAAATCGTAAATCTCTAAGCCTTAATCTTAATTTAGTTAAAAAAACTTCAATTAAAAATAATAAAGTGTATATAAACGAATTTACCTTTTTAATTCACACTTATCATTGCTGAGGGAAATCAGCCGATACCTGGTCAAAAACAAATAGATTGTTAAGATTGAATTGTTTAAATGGCAACACATCTTTGTAAGACTCTTTGTCTGAGGGCATGATGTCTGTTGAACAATACTATTAAAATTAAAATTAGATTTTAAGAAGTGGTATTGGGTATACTTCTAAAATAATTAAAGTATTATTTTTTTTAAAATGGACAGAGTTCTGTTTCGATTTTTTAAAATTTACTATAAAAAACTATTTTTCCTGTACACTACCCGCCTTTCTCTTATAGATCCCCTTTAATGCCCGTACATACCAAACCGGCCGCAGCCAACTCATGTACGGTTCGGACTCTCTTATCTGACCTTAGTCAAGGGGTGAGGTTGTCCTAAAAAGATTAACCAGCCCTTTAGGATCTTTAAAAAAAACCGACGAGGCCAATTCCTCTACATCCTTTATGGACGTAGTCAGAGGACAGGGCAGCGTTTAAGAAAAAGTTAGTTGTTGTATGCACTCAAATATGTGTACATAAAAAAACAAAATCTAATAACATGAATTATTTGGCAAAATTTAAAGTTTGTCTAATTTTGACCGCTAAGGTCTATCTTTTGATTAAAATAAAAATAAATAAAATACAAAAAATACCTTAATTTTACAAATTTATTTTTACAAAAACGAGTGTTTGTTTATAAACAAAGAGTAGTACATATAGGACTAACAAAAAAACTCAACGGTTTCTATAGTGACATATGACGTCATGAAAACTTAATAAAATTATAACAGAAATACTATAATCAGTTTTTTAAAGAGATTTTATTTATATAAATAATTTATTTGGTTAGTTCTAAAAATCCTAAATTTCTATAGTACGTTCATACAGTATAATCAAACGTAAAAAGCAACTTTTTAAAATTTTAGTAATGCTAAAAAAATAGATGAATTTTTTGAAATTTTTTAAAAAAAATTATTACTCGAAAACTATGATATGTAAATGCGTAGATGAAGCAAACATAATTGGTCTATTTTCGATAGATTGAGTTTGAAAATTTATTAAAAATAGAAGATGACGTCTAAAATTATCGAAATTAAGAGAAATGATAGATGTATATTTAAAATTTATTTAAAATTAATTACAATATTTTATCTAAAATAATAAATACATAAATGATGTTTATGGTATTAATGGTATAACATTTATCGTATTAACATCATGCACAGGCTGTTGTGATCTTAAGTTACTTTGTTAAATACGAAGTGAACGACGTACGGCCTAATAACATTATAAATAATTAGTTAAAATGATTATTTTAAGTAAATTTAAAACGACGCGGTTATAAAACTTATAACCTAAATCATTCATGTCTGATGAAAATTACTTTGAGAAATATATAGATCTAATATGGTTCCAATTTTTCATATCTAAAAAATTGAAATAAATATTAAATATACAATTTTAAATATAAATTATGAACAATACTTTAGTAATTCATAAAATGTGTTACACCATCCTTCAGTCATTCCATGAGAAATAAATATTCTTCTTATTAGTAGATTAATAATGAACATTTTATTATTTCTCTTGATTTATATATAAAAAAATAGTTTTTGCCACTGATTTGGCGCATCCAGCGGATTATAAAATATGTTACGAACCGAAGGCCAGACCTTAAACTGACCCTTTTAAACGACTATTTTCAGATATATTAGCGACTATATTGCTGTTTACCATTCCCGTATTTTTATATTCTCATTTTTGCCCTGATTTGGCCTAAACGACTATTTTCAGATATATTAGCGACTATATTGCTGTTTACCATTCCCTCGGTAAAGCGTATGCGTTTTTTCTCATCCCACCTCTGCCACCAAATAATATTTGGCTACATTCACGGTTGGCGCTGTAAAATATTAAAATATCAACTCATATTTCAATATTACTAATGTACTGAATTTCCAAATGCTTTATATTATTATACAATAAAACATATTATAAATATTGTATAAATTTATTTAACTAAATCTTTTGTTTTCAGTATAATACATACTCCACTGGAACCGGGATAGTAATATCTATTACAATATTCTAAAATATTTGGTTTTGATAAAATTAGTTAAACTAAAAACTGAAACATAAACATAATAATTATTAAAATAATAATAATTTAACTGAATTATTGATGATTTAGCATAGTTGGTGTATGAAAGGCAATTATGCATTTTTAAATTAATATTTTTGTTAATTAATTAAATTTTAAAAGATATCAAAATACTATAAATATAAGTCAATTCATGTGATAGGATATGAGCCACCGGCCGGGAGTGACCTTCTGGTCAGCTTCATGGCAACGGTTGTCAGTAATACCGACGGAAGTCATGCCGTAGAAGCCGACTTCTCTGCATTTGGTGATCAAACGGTGCGATACTTAAAATGTTTTTAAAATGACACAATTTACTTTACATTATAAATAATAAAAAATAAAATAGAGATTATTTTTAAAAATACACAATTGATTTACTTGATACTTTATAAATATTCAAAAATAAAATAAATTAAAACTATTTTTAAAACGACAGTTTACTTTAGTTGAATTTTATTTATTTATTTTTAATTAATATTTTTTAATAAATTAATTGTTTTTAAATCGGAAAGAGTAATCAATAATTCTTACATAATTTATGTGACATATATATAGCATGTCTCTTATTTTGTATCATTAAATAAGTTTAAACATATATCTAAATCAGGAATATTCAACATAACTTTAAATTTGTTGGTCCACTTGTCAGTAACCATTGAAGGATATACATCCGCTCCATAAAATTGTTTAAATTTATCAATTATTAATTTAGATGAGTTATAAATACTCGATCGCTTTGTTTTATTTTATTAACTGTTCAGGTTTTATTGTTGCCGGTCTGTATTTACCACAAACTTGCGAATTGCGAATCTGTATGCGTTCGTCTAGTCAATAACAGTCCCAAGTGTCGTTATATGTAATGCTTATTATTAAAAATAATAAAGTTATTTAAATTGGCGTATATTAGTACATAGTACTCTAATTGTTGAGTATTTAAGTTGTAAATTTCCAAATTAATGTAGTTTCTGTAGCCACAACTAAATATGTAAATAAGTAATCAAAAAGTATATAATTTTCATAAACACCGATAACATCTGTAACATTGTTTTAGCAATCTTTTTATTAATCCGCAAGAAAACAATAATCTTTACCAATAGTCACAGATAGCTGCTAGTGAACGGGAATGCCTGGCCGTCATCAAATCGGTTGAGCACTTCAGTTAATCACTTTAATTATTTTTCATGAAAATCTTCATTTTTAATTAAATTTTTAAATGTTTTTCATTAAATCTTATCAAATCATAACTTATTTTTCATTTTTTAAATTATATAATACAGAAATTACGTAAAATAAAGTATTTTTTAATATTTTAATAACTCGAAAATTATTTTAGCTATTATAATTTTGATTACATATTTGAGTTTTAAATAACTTTCTGCATAAATATTGCTGAAAAAACTTCGGACTCTCAAGGTAAACCTAACCATTTTTTTTATTCAAATGTTAAAACAAATAAAACAAGGTTTTAAAATAATTTTTTAAAGTAATATTACGTAAAAACAAATAGTCATTACAATATGTTTTAGTGAGAAATACAGCCTTGCCTTCAATAAAAAATTTTTTGAATGCAAACAAAATTACTTTTTAATATTTAAATAATATTTTTTTTTGTTTATTTTCCCTGTTAATTGTGTTATTTTATATAAGGATATATTTTCAATAAATTTTTAATTGCATACAAATACTTGCATATATTATATGCTATGGCACTATTGACACATTGATTGTATTATACACTATTGCAATATATAGAATATATATTATTTTAAATTTTAATAGAAATATAATAGTTTAGTTTAAAATTTAATATAAATACTAAAAAAAATTAAAACTCAATTAAATTATATGTATTACTCTCTGGTATTATAGTTTAGACAATACAATTTTTATAGGTAAATACTATAACTAGTTTTTTTTAGTAAATTTTATAATATTTTTGGGGTCTCGTTTGGGATAAATAAATAAAAAATTTAAATAATTCAATTCTATTATAAAGTGTTATCTTGATTCAAATAACATCAATTTTATTTAATAAATTTTTCATTAAAATATTCAAAATTAAACTATTTTATAGGATTTTATTTTAATTTAAATTATATGAATTACTAATCAAATTTAAAGCTTTAATTCTATTAACTGTAAGCTTTAACTAAGTTGTCTTTATTAAAAAAAAAATTAATTTAATAAAAACTGCAAATCTAAAAATCTTAAATTTTAATTTAAAGTAATTATTATTTGTATGGGAAATTTTAAATGATTATTGAGCTCAGGTTTTTAGGGACAGGTATCATAAGGCACCTGGATGTTAGGTATATATGCTAAATTTTTGTTAATTTTTTTTTAAATACATATTTTTATAGCAAAAATGAATATTTAATTTTTAAAAATTATAAACTTTTATATAAACATTTTTTATGGTTAGATTAAATTGATTTTTTTTCATATATTATAACTATCATATGTATATTATAGGTTAAAGTTACCATTTAATATAATCTATATATTATTAGACAGCCATTAGAAAATTATTTTCCAAAAGCCCATTCCCACCCACACACCCACCCAACTAACCAACCACTTCCTAATCTCACACTCCACCCCCAAAACTAACTGTAACTAAATAACAATTATGTAATAAAACTAACATTTTATTATATGTAATATTATGTATAACTGCATAAAAAACAATATATTTTTTGCTAATTGTCTATATTATAGATTTTATGATATTTTGTTTGAAAATTTATTTTCTAACCTAAAAATAAAATAAAACAATTTCTTTCTTATTTTTTTTGTTATTCAATTTCATTGACACAAAAAAAACAACATTTAATCAAAAAAAGAAAATTCTAGTTCTTCTTTTGTTTATCTTTAGTTTTCTTATCATTATTAGTGTCTGAATCGGTGTCGACGACGACGGCGTACAATGTTGTCCAGCGTTTGGCTTCTCTGGTAAACTCCGGCCGATTAGTCCGATACTGTTGGGCAATACTGGGAACCATTGGATCCATTGGATTGGGATCTGTTAGCAACTGTTGAACACTTAGCAACACTTGGCTGATGGTCAGTGCGCAGCTCCAGTTCTGTTTCAATGTATCCAAACATATGATACCGTCGGGACTGATGTTCGGATGATAGATCTTTGTGGTAAACTTGATGAACGGCGGATGAAACGGATAGTCAGTGGGGAAACGTATGAACAGTTTGAAACAACCGGATTGATAGGGCGTATCCGGTGGACCATCGATCCGACCCTCCCATTCAAACAGATTGTCGCCAATCGGATGTGCTGTACATCTGGGCGGCGGATCTTTTTGTATCTCAATCAGCTCTTTACGTATCCTTTTCAGTGCCATTTAGTATACTATATATATATCTTGATTAAGATGTCTTCTAGTTGTTGTTGTTGTTGTTGTCGATGTTGATGTTGGTGTCACCCAATTGATCCGAAATTGTTTGCTTTCACTGGATGGACACAAACAGACGTTTGATATATCTATCAGACTTCTCAAGACTCAACACTCGTTTACCAATTTTGGTCTAAATTATTGATTGGCTGCCAATAATAGTAAAAAAAAAAATTTAAACAATTTATTTTAGATAAAAATTAAAATTTAATAAAAAATTAAATTCCTATAAAATAGTGTGTTATTGTTGAAAAAAATATTTAACTTTAAAGTCCAAGTTTATACCGACAATAGTGTAGATAATATAAAATAATTTATTTTTTTAGCCAACAAATTATTATCGTTAATCAATATATTAATTTAGGAATTTATTATTTTCATTAATTTAATTTAATTATAATAAAAATTAATATATTATTTATTTAAATATATTGTATATATATATATATAAAATATATCATTTATAATAGTTATTGAATAACCTGTCACTTATTAATATCATTTACATAATAATTATTTACTAGATATATAACTATTAATATTTTAAATTAACTATTGACTAATAGATTGCATTTATTTGTTTGTTTAATTTGGTTTAATTAACTGGTAATTGTAGTGTTAAAAAAAATAATTTAATAATAATTGCCGTAAAAATCTATAGCTATTTTGGTAAACTCCGGGTGACGTCGATTCGCGCGGACCGGCAATGTTGAGCACCACCAGTGGCCTAATAATGGACAACCAATCAATACATCGACGAACCGTTTGGTGGTTATCATCGGATGAGACACCGACTATAAGGTATGGTTTTGCCAAACGCTTCAGTTCGTTGACCGTAAGTCTTGTACCGTCGGCTATGGTGTCAACCGAGGACTGATGATCGGCCGGAATCACTACAAGTGTCGCATCGGAATCCCTGATATTCATGACTGTCCTTACATTATAGTCATCGCTGGGTGTTTCGCGAAGATTGTAGACATCGCTGATTATACCGTCTTCGGCGAGTCTGCCTTTCGGACACCAACCCGACTGACATAACTGTAACTCTATGGCCACATCCAGTGCAGCCCTGTCCACACCGGTCTGTCCGCCAGACACTATAGTTATAGACATAATTGTTTGACTGGTAATTGTGTGACTAAAATAACTAATTAAAAATAAATAATTAAAAAAAACATTAGTAAATAGTTATTACTAACTTTTGTAACATTTTTACATTTATATAAATATTTGTTTCTAAAGGGCAATAATTTTTTTTTTGATAAATATTTATTGAATTATAAATATTATTATTATTATTATTATTATTATTATTATTTGATATGACATAAAATGATTATAAATAATTATATATACTGTATATACTGTATAATACTAAAGTAGTTTAGCGATAAATATAAGTAATTAATTTTTTTTATTGAAATCAGTTATTAAAAATGTTATTTTTTTAATACAGTATATGTATATAAAGTACTGTAATATATTAAATAGATTACAGAAATTAAATTAATAACAATAAAAAAATAGAAATATATAAATATTTATATACAATATATATATAAATGATAACAAATATTAAAAAACATTTAATACAAATTATTGACACAATATAGTGATTGATATTGTGATAATAATATGGAAACAATAGGACTGATATGAAAATAATATATGATTTAATAGAGATATTAGTTGTTTTTTTTGTGGTGATATCACTGAAACATTAAAAACAATAACCAACTAAAACAATACAAACACCGACAACGACAACACCCGTGACCCGTGTTGTGGTCGTCGCGTGATTTCTACCGTCAGTTAAGGACCGGCCATCCGAATTGGTCGACCGATTGTTGTTGTTCAACGATTGTTGCTGCTGTTGTTGTCCACTACCATCACCGCTGCCATCGGATCGGTAATTGATTTTTTTCGCCTGTTTTCTAACTTCTTCGTACAACTGCTTACACGCTTCGGACCTATAGGTCAGACTCGGACATCGATCCGATTCTTGTTCGGCAATCTGTCCGTCAAACTCTTGGTGATTGATTTGGTAGGCAATTGTCGGACACTTTCGGCTGACGGCTGACTTGTAGCAGTCGATACTATCCCATAGGGCACAGCACTCGATGTCCAGCTTATGGCAGGTCAGCGCCGATTTGGTAAAACCTATTGTACACATCCAGTTGGCGGCCACTTTGTCTAAGCAAACGTCGACCGACTTTTCGCCCAAATCAAGACATTTGTTAATTTGGTCGTCCGTTATATTATTTTTGGTCACTTTATCGGCGCTTACGGCTACTGTCCGACAAACAACAACTTGTATTAATAATAATAATAATAGACTTATTGTGTATTTTAATAATATTTTTGATAACCGTTTTGATGACATATCTATTATACTATTGATTTGATAAAACAATTTTTTTTGAACAAATAATTTTGTCAAATAATTTTTAAACAGTTTTTAAAACCAGTTTTTCAGTTATTAAATCACGCGCTAAAAAAATAGTTTTAACTTTTTAAAAATATATATGTTTTATATATGAAATTAATATTTAACGAGAATATTAATTATTAAATTATTTATGATATTTTTATAATAATAAGTCTAATTAGATTTGAATAAATCATAATTTTATTTAAAAATTATTAGCAATTTTTTTGTTGAACATTATTTTATTTATAAAATAATTTAATAAAATTTTATGTAATACACTATAAGACAAATTCAATTTTTTTAATACAGTATAAGTATTGAATTATTAAATAATTATTTTTTTTATTATATTTAGATTCTAAACAATCATTCATAATATTTATCAAAAACAATGTAATATTATATATATTTTTTTGGATTAACAAAATTATTAGCAAATAAAAAAAATATTTATAAACTATAATTAATTGAAAAATATATCAACAATAAAAAAATATTAATTTCTTTTAATTAATCAGTAGTTTGAAAATATAACAAAAATTACTATAATTTAGTAATTTAACTTGGTAATAAATATTTAATTACCACAAAAAATAATAAACAAATAATACTGTATTCAATCGACAAACAAAAATTGAAATTTTCATATTAAGATATAACTTATATATTAAATTTTGATACTAATAATAATTATAATTATAATAATAATAATTAACATTCAATTATAAATAATTTTAATTAACCAAAAATAACTTTAACTTGATAAACTTAAGTTGTTATCATCATCAATTTTTATATTGAAATCACCGCATATGGCATACAATTCATCGCCTATATAACGATAGTTGAAAACATTTAGCCTAACCGTTTGCAGCCGAGGACAGGTATTTATAAGACAGTATCGTTTCGGATACGATCGCTTAGACAGCCGATAGCTTAGCTGTAGTTCCACGTGTTTTAGGTGACGGTGGCCGACAAGCGACTGAAATATATAGCGTACACAATAGAGATCGACATCGGATATGTAGAGTCGCTGTAGTTGTGGACACTTTTGCCCGAAATTGGCGATCAATTTGCGACTAAAACATATGTGACACGAATTTTCCGAATTTTGACGGGCCTCGAGCCGCAGTGACCGCAACTGTGGACACGGGGCCATATAGTTACGGCCGATAATTATGCCGCCATTCAAATTGATACCCTCGTAATCGACAAACTCGTAGGTGGCCTCAATGGTTAACTCGCGCAATACTGGACAATTGGTGGTAACTTTTCTGAGACATTGTCGAAAATGATAGGCCGTATTCATACCGATACGTATACGTAGTTTCTGGAGATGTCCGGATAGATGCCTGAGTGTATTGGTTATGGATATCTGGTCGTCGGACCATTGGGTACAATGCCATACAAGACTCTGCAATCGTATCATTGGTTGTTGCAACTGACGGCATAGTTGACCAAAATTATTTTGCATTGTTTTATTACCGCATGTAGTGACCAACTCCAGTCCAGTCAATTGCTGGCCATATTTGCCGACAAATTGTTGAAATAGTTGACTATCGTAGGGTTTGTACACATAGTATAGACATTTGAGTTTAGGTAGTATTAAATGTTGATTATTATTATTATTATTATTGACATTAAATAATTGTTTCATCACATGTATGGTGAATAATGGTCGGGGTCGGTGCCAATTATAGGTATAAAATTGATTGGCCGACCCGTATAGTGAATAAACATTGTAAATGCACCGTAATTTAGGACACGATAGTAGCCGAGAGCATAGTATGGCCGCACAATCTTCATTGACGGCTACATCAGTCAATTGATTACCGAATCGATCGATTAATCGATTAAAGGCGTCTAAATCTTGACCGAAATCCAGGAGCACAGCAGTCAATTGGGGACAGTTAGTGACCAATTGGTCGACTAATATTTGAAAATATGTTTTCGACGGCCATCGGATGTAATGGACATTTGTGTCGATAAAATTACACGGTTTGCTACACTTGATGGCCACCAAATTCGGACAGCATTTGATTACCCGTTTGACAACTGACCAGAGTTTCTGTATGTCATATCTGCGGCCAATCTTTTCGTAGATTTGCCATAAGTCCAGTTCGGTCATCGATTGTCGTAAACAATGTTGCCATTGACGGCTGACGGCTTGTGTGGCCAACTGTTGCCGAAACGATTGAAAGCTGAGTAATAGTTGGCATAAGTCGTCGCCAAATCTGTCGAAACTGTCCCGACTATACACCCGCCGGTGTTGTTGTTGTTGGCCAGACATTCACTATTGTTTTTAGTATATGTGATACTAATAATAATTTTTACTAATAATTAAATAATGAAATTTAAATATAATAATAATAATACATATATTAAAAAATATAGTTTTATACAGTTTTCTGTATACTGTATATAAAGTTAATGAATTGTTTTACTTTAAAGTATTATAAAATTTTTCATTGACTTTAAAATACTTTAATTAATTTCAATTTCAAATGTTTTAAAGACTCTATGAATATGTGAAAATATTTTTTGTGAAACTATAAATATAATATTAGTTTATTTGTTTGTTTGTTAATAAGTTGAGATTATTATTTAAATAATTAGTAATTTATTATATTATAGAAATATTGAGTAGAGTTAGGCCAACTTTATAATAAGGGATGAAAGTTTCCTAATAAATTTACTCCAATTTTACAGTTAAATAATTAAAATAATAAAATAATGATTACAATAAAAAATTACCAAAATAAAAAACTTTTAAAAAATTTATTGATATATTTATTTTAAAAAATTAAAAAAGTTATACTAATTAATATACAATTTGATTAAAGATTGTTTTCTTGTTGTTATAATAATAATAATAATATTCAAATTGATATAAGTTTTTCAAACATTACAGTATAATAAAATTTAATAAAGTTTATAAAATAATTAAATATACATTAAATAATAATTATTATTATTGAGAAAATGTATACTAAATATCTCGATTCTATATTAAAAAAAAAAATTGAAAAATTGAAAATTTATTATAAGATACAAAAATAAAATTACAATAAAAACAACATTTGAGATACAACTAATAAAATTACAAATAATAATAATTTTACAAATTAATTAGTATTAATATACTGTATCATAATTGCAACAAAAAACATAAAAATTAATTAATTATTATTATTTAATTTTCAATTTTAAATGTTAATTCATTTCTAGCCTCTTTGAACACTGTTATGGCATACAATTCATTATCAATATAATGATAGGTATAGTCATTGATCTGGACACTAATCATTTGGGGACAGTTACGTAATAGACATAACTGTTTGGGATATTGTCTTTTAGAGTGTCGATTTTTTAGTAGTAAAATATACAGATGTCTGAGCTGCCGATGGCCTAGTAGTGTCCGAAATACGACGGGCACATCGTTTAGATGGACATCCGATATGAACAGTCGCTGTAGTTTCGGTAATTTTTGCTGAAAAGTACGGATCAAATTACGGCTAAAACGTATACAACAGGCGTCCTCGTAAGTGGCATAGGCCTCCAATGTTAACGATAGCAACTGTGGACAGGTAGCCAATGAACTTTCGCCAATAAGTATACCGCCGTTCAAATTGATACCATTGCAATCTATGCATTCATACATAGCCTCAATGGTTAGACTACGTAACTGTCCACAACATTTTTCGGTAATCATATTCAGACACCAATGAAACTCGGGGGCGGTTTTCATACCGACACGTATACGAAAGTGTTTTAGTTCGGCAAAATGGCCGACAGTATTGACTATTGAATACCAATCGTCCTCCCATTGGCTGCTATGCCATACAAGACTACGCAAATGCCGAAACTTTTGCAACTGTCGGCACAATTGATCAAATCTATAGTTTTTATTATTATCCGTATCATCCCGTGTTGTGGCCAACTCTAATGACATTAATTTCTGATGATATTTGTCAGCAAATAGTTTGAATAGTTTGCAATCTTCGGGTCTGTACAGGTAGTACAGGTGCCGAAGTTTCGATAGTAATACTTGTTGTTGTTGCTGATGATGATCATCACAATTACCATCATCATCATCGTTGCCATTGACCAGTTGTTTCATTATTGGTAATCTGAATAACGGCTTTACCCGAAACGAGTGTTCGCCCGAATAATATTTCAATTTTGGCCAATACAGTGTAAAAATGCGATAAATGTTACGCAAATTAGGACAGTCCGGTAATCGTTGCCACAGTAGTGGTGCACAATGTTCATTGATGGCCAAATCGGTCAATTGATGACCGAGTCGGTCGATTAGATAGTTAAAGCTAGCCGTATCGGGTCCGAAATCCAGGAGCACCGAAGTTAACTGTGGACAACTAATGGCCAATTGGTCGACCATAAACCGATAATAACTTAGCGGCCGATTTAAATAGTGAATATACTTTTCCATGTGAGGCCATATATCCGTACACTTGATGACCACTAAGTTCGGTAAACGTTTGATAACTTGTTCAACGATTGGACAGAGTATAGCCATTTCGTCTTTGCGGCGAACCTTCTCGTAGATCTGAAATAAGTCCAATTCGGTCACCGATTGCCGTATAAAATGTTGCCATTGCCGACAAACGGCTTGTTTCAGCAATTTTTGCCTAAATGTCATATAACTGACCAACAGTTGGCCCAAATCGTCGCCAAACCTGTCGAAACTGTCCCGACGGTAATGTTGTTGTTGTTGTTGGCCAGACATCGATATATCGATTTATTATTAGATTAGTTATAAAAAAACTACTTTTGATTCAATTATATTTAAAAAATTTTAATATTTTATTTTTTTAATATGTATTTGTGACACAAAAAATAATTACTTTACTATTGATATAAAAGTAATGAATAATAATTTAAATGATTTCCAGTATTACATGTATTTATAGTTTTAGTTATCTATAGTAAAAGTTTAGTAGAGTATACTGTATGTATAAAAATTAATTTTTTAAAACTATTGATATATTATTATAGTTTTAAGGCAAACTTGAAAATAATTTTTAATATTTAATCTGATTTTATTGCAAACTACAGTAAATGATAAGTAAACAAATAATAAGTTTATATTGAATACTATATTATTAATTAATTAAAAAATTTTCTACTATATTAATATATTTTTACATTAAAAATGTTAATAAAGTTTAATTAAAAATAAACTTAATCATAAGTAAATTATAAAAATAATACTATACTAAACAACAACAAAAAAAAGTTACGATATTTAAACATATTAATAATAATCAGGGTTATGAATTTTTTTTTATATTTGATATTGATTTTTAAAATTGTTTTTCACAGTTTATTTTGATTATTAGTTATTATTTTATATACATTTTATTAATTCAATGGAAAATATTTATATGCAATATAACTGATTTGACATTTAAAAAAAATAAAAATATTTTTACACTATTTTTTGTAATTTTTTTAAAACTATTAAATATCATATAAATTGTATATATTAAATGCTAACAAATTAAAATTTAATAATAATAATAATAGTAATATTAATAATAAACAACATACGATATGCTTTATTATTAACATAAAAACTTAATTTAATTAATTAATTTAATTGTTTAATACTGTAAAAAAAATTATATATAATTAAGTATTTATATAATTTATATTATACTTTATATCACATATGAATAACATAAATAGTCGACTAATTTTGTGTTAATTTTATTGCTATTATTATTATTATAACATTTACATCAAAATCATAGTCAATGAGAAATCATTTAAATCTATTTAATAATGTTTGAGTCACACCATAAAATCATAACTCTCTCTCTCTCTCTCTCTCTCTCTCTCTCTCTCTCTCTCTCTCTCACTCACTCACTCACTCTGAATATATATACAGTATATTTGATATTTTCCCACAACTATTACTTAATATAATTTACAAAAAAAAAACTATTATTTCACTTTTTTCAGCAAAAAAATACAACATTTTAGTTATAATTTTGTTAAAATTATTTATGATTTTCAAGCAAATTATGGCAATTGTTTCCCAAACACACACAACATATAAACATAAATATAATTTTATTGTTGTTGTTGTTGTAAATCACGCAAACAATTACAGTATTCTCTCACATAATATATAGAAAATAATAGGAGAAAAACAATATTAATAAAAAAAATTATGATAATTTGTTTTTTTAATTTATTATTATTATTATTTTTTGTCAAAAATAACAATTTTTCTTTAAAAAAAGTCATTTAATGGTTTAATACATATATATAATGGTTTATAACAGCTCCAGTAGTATGTTTTGCGGCTACACTTCCCGGTCATCGAAAGATTGCGGTTTTATTTTTTTATAGGACAGTCCGCCATAGAAAAAAAAACAGTTAGCAAACAAAATATACAATAATAATAATAAGTCAAAATTGTATGTTCGGATAGCTAGAGCACCGGGAACTATTATCGATGATGATAGCTTATGTAGCTTTTACTATAAATATATACAATATTTCAATTTTAATTAAAATTATTCAAGCATAATGATGTCACGGGTGGGCTCCTCCCAGAGCCCAACGAGACCGGCGTCCAGGTCCAGATCGGGTAGAAAGGTGTCCGGCGAGCGTACGGGTGTTAACCAAAACGGCATAGATTCGGACATCTGGCCATCGCTTGGCCGGCGTAGCTGTACGGCCACTGCTACCGGCGATAGGACATTGGTATCGGCGTAACGGGGTGTGCGAAACGATATGGCAAAGTGTTTGTGTATGTCCTGAGCCCGAAACTCGGCATAGGCTTCCCATACAAGTATACCGTCTGCCGTTTCCTCATAGAAGCGCACCTGTATGTCATCTTTGACCACTCGATCGCATAGCAAAATCACCTCTTGGCCACCGGTGACGGGCGCCGAACAATGTGACAGTTTACCGATGGCCAACTCGGACATTGCTTTTTTGTCGTATATCGGTTCGGACACTACCGGTTCCAGTGGCAGACAATAGTCACCCGAACCTAATTCGGCTTCGATCCACACCTGAAAGGCTAGACGTACGACAGCCAAGTCGATCACTTTGAACGCCTGTCCGCGATGAGAGAAACCGGTCCGAAACGGGTCGACTCGTAACGATTCGCGCAGTCGGAGCCGATCGCGGATGTCCTTGCGTTTGGCGCACAGTATGCCGAGATTGTTGAACACACAGACCGGGCCGTCAAATACTAGCGAACAGACACCGTCGCGACACGACTTTTTGCCGACCAAATTGTGCGGATGCGGTCTAAATGGTGGGTCTATCGGGTTGTGGTTAGATGAAAGGCATGGGTTGTATTAGGCCGGTTAGATTAGGACAGTTATATAGTATAATAGTATAATAGTGTAATAAACAAACAAAAAATTGTTACTTACTTTTTGTAACACACGACACAACTACTTTGGCCGAACCGGTGTGACCAATGAGTCGAATGGCCGGAAAAGTAGGCGATGATGGGGTCGATCGGGAACCGGGAATGGCGCCCGATATGCGACCCTCGCACTCGTATCGAAAACGGACACCACATTTGGCCGGCTGTTCGACGATCTGGACATACGGAAAACCCGTGGACTGCATGGTGTCGACATATATACACATACACAGTATTATCTAAAATTTAATGCATACACACACACACACACACTTTCACAGCACACACACACCACAGATAGATAGTGTCAGTGCGCGGAGCACAAGGAGGTAAATGATAAGCGAGAGTGAAAGGAGTAGTCCTGTCGACGACGGCTTATATAATCCCAAACTCTCAATGCCAGTCAACAACAAAATACATATACATAGTATCCATTATAAACACATACATACATACACACACACACACACACACACACACACACACACACACACACACACACCATAAACGGGTTGACCGCTTTTACGTCAATAGCTAAACAAAATAGCATATACCTGTGCGCTCATATATGATTTTTTTTTTAGTTGTCGCGCGCCACCAAACAATTAGCGCATCGTTGGGCTCGCGTGGCACGCGTGAGAGTTTTCCTCCTCCCGTTTTTTTTTGTTGGCGACACGCATGAAAGCGCCCGAACAGTTAGCGCTTATACATTAAGCATTTCTAAGCTACCTGTCCATACAAATACAGTACATTTTATTTAACACAAATTGGTGGCAATTATTATGATATATTTATGACTTGTTCTCTCTCTCTCTCTCTCTCTCTCTCTCTCTCTCTCTCTCTCTCTCTCTCTCTCTCTCTCTCTTTAATATGGATTTGTTTTTTAACAGAAAAAATGATTTCTTATTATTATTATTACATTTGTTTTATTACATTAAAGTACAATACATTACAAAAAAATGAAAAGTTAGGTTTAAAAAAGACAACTATCCTTTATTATTATTATTATTACTACTATAAAGTATACTACACTCCCCTCCTTCACCCCACTCGTCCATAATTGTTAGGCTTTCCTTTCACTTTGACTCTCCGACACTTGATTTCCTCAATAAGTTCAGCCATTCGGCGAACGGCTTCTCAAACATCACATGTAATACCAGTGCCAACAGTATGGACAGTATAGAGCATAGAGCTATGGCGGACCACTAAAATTCAATTGATAGGGAAAAAATCAAATCAAATAAATAAAAAAAAAACTAAATACAAGTGGACAGTTAGCTAGCGTTTACATTGTCCATATCGGAAAAGGCGGTTGTCTGGCGTATAGTGTAGGCGCGCAATACTATCGGTACCAAATGGCACAAATAGATACAATAGGTTAGCCGAGACAGCGGTACCCAACTCGGTGAGGCCAACACCCGGCCCAGCCAACCGGGTTTGCCGAACGCACTGACCAGTACTATCCAAGCTGGCAGTACTGACCACATGAGCCGATGAGTGGCCGTAAATAACAGCCGTTCGACATAACCGGCCGGTTCGCTTGCGGCGGTCGAGTCCATCCAAGTGGTCGACCAGAATATACTGGCCACAGCTGTGCTAGTGGTCAGTGTCCAAACCAGTAGACGTATGGGCGACGATATTTGAACTTTGCGATGGTGTCGGTGTACGAGATAGCCAACTACCAGTCCCAGTGTATAGGGACTGATGTGTTGGACGGCCGGCCAGTATAGCTGAATACAGTTTAATTGAATAATCATATCTTTAAACAAAAATAAAATATAATTGTTTTACGTTTAGAAAATGCCGATCAATGGCCTCTTCGGACAATATGTTGTTCAATGAGTACATTGTTGGCAGAATAGTATTGTCCATCAGTGGCGGTACAATAGATATGCCGCACGACATGACCACCAGGACAGCGGCCAGCGCGAGGCCAACGGCTTGTTGACGTTGCAGGACATACAGTAATATTGGTGTCAGTACGGCGTAGAGCTGGAAATCGGCCGCCAAATACCAGGTATGGGTTGCGCACTGAAAACGGATATTTCATTCAAAAAAACGGTAGTTTTTTAAACAACAAGAGACTAACGTTGCCGTCGGTGCCGTAAAAGTTGTTAAAATACAGTAAATTACGCCAAAAGTATAGTTCGCACGGCTGGGAGAGACCAGTGATGGCTGAGGTAAATATGGGTCCGGAGCCCAGTAGAGGTAGCAATGGATAGAGTAGTACCAGTCCGAGTACGGCTGGTGTGTAGCGAAGCCAACGGAAAACTAGAAAAGCAAAATAATCGAAACGTCGGGCGACCCGTACGGTCATCTCGAGTGTGACAAACGCTGCGGTCATACCACTGATGACAAAGATAAACAAAGAACAGGTAAGTCATGGATCAGTTGCCTATAGCCCACACACACACAGACAAACACTAGAGACAAACCCGAGACAGAAAAACGTGTCGACCTGTAGAAAGGCGCCCACTTTGAGCGGCTGATACCGAAGCCAAGCTGCTCGGGGCAGATCGGCCAGTGGTCGACGAATGACGGGAAACACGCGAAAAAATTGCATTAGATAGACGTGACCGCATAGTATCCAGAAGATGGCCACTACGCGCAAGCCGTGAACGGTAGCCAATCGTGGCGTATGCGTTGACCGGGCAAACAGGGCACGCATATTGCGCTGTACCGAAAACGCTATGAACAATGGGTTACGGGACAGGGATAGAGTATCGGCCAGTGAGGCGGCCAGACATACGAGTAGTAGTATCCCGTAAATTGTTATGGAAATAATCTGTACGGTAGACAGTTGGACGCTAGTGATGGATGAACGGGTTTCGCACCTGTCGATAGTGAAACCGAGACCGGTAGGTGCTATGTCTGTTGTGTAGGTAAACATAATTAGTAGGTAATTGTCTTTATCTTTATGAGAGATACAGAAGCGCACAAACAATATATTTCAAAGGAAAATAAAACCAAACTCACATTTTTCTAGCAAACTCTTCAACACGTGCCGCGAGCACGTTCTGGGCGTACACAGACCAAGGTTTAGGCCGCGCGCAATATAGAAATATTTAGCTGTGCTTACTATCTGTTCCCAAAACGTACCGTCCAGTGGCGTACCGGTAATATTGATAACGGGTTGGCCGTAAAAACGCAGTTGTTTTTCGCTAGTTGTCATCGGTATCCATATTCGGCTCATACAGTATTGACCAGTGACTTGCATATCGTCTTCACGATAGTCAATGTCCAGACACTGATCGTAGTCGCCGTAGTCGGCGTTAGTGCCGGTAAATAGTCCGGCAAACGGGAACCGGGCGGACGAGTCAATAACTAAAACGGTCAGAAAAAGAGAGAGAGAGAGAGATCATTGGGTTAGCCATTGGTTTGGGAGTTGGGTATCGCAACCAAACTTACAATCAAATGGCCATTGTTTTTGTGTACGTACGGCGTCCACCATTCGGTAAAGTGTACGGAGACAGTCCTCGGGCAGCGACATCTAATTCACCGAAAAAAAAACAAAAAAAAAATGTTGAAACAATAGACCAAATAAAAAAATAAAATAAAAAGTTATTTCAGTTGAATACCTGATAGAGATCCTCCATAAGCACCGGTAGTAAAGTACGAATAACTGCTTCGATAGTCTGTCCGACTGTCCAATGAAATCGTAGAAACAGTTCTCTAGTGTCGTCCGTACGGTTCAATTGGCGCGACCACAACGTATTCAACAGTGTCTGTATTGGCTGCAGTGATAGCGGTGACGACATATCGGTTCCCGTATTATTGTCAACTGTTTGGTCATCGTAGGTCCCGTAGTCATCATCATCGGGCGGTTCTTCACTACTGGTGGTAGATATCGAGTGGTGGTCATCATCAGCATCATCGTCGTCGACTTCGGCAGCGGAAACTGTGGACAACAATACAAGATATACGAAAATTGTCGATAATTTCATGTTTTGTGTCTATAATTATTAGTTTTTTTTCTAATTTTTTTTATTTTGGTGACAATTATTGACATTAAGTAAATTTTTAGTCAAAAACAATATTTAATTTTTTTTTGTTTTCTGGGAATTTTCTGGGAATAATACTAATAATAATGGGGAGTGTCGTGTATGTGTGTGGAGATGAGGACAGGGATGCGTCAGTGGTGATGGTGTGTCGATAGCTATATTTAAATTTCTATACACATTAAAAAAACAATACTATTGTCAATAAAGTCAATTAGTAATTAGTGATTATATTGTTTTTTTTATTGTTTAGTTGAAAATTATATGGTTTGTAATTTTGTTGTATGTGTATGAAAATTACTAAAAACTTTATCTAATTTATATACATTTTTTTTTTTAAAAAAAAGTATGATTTATATTGTTAGTGTAAATTATATATATATTGTGTTTATGAAAACAACTATAGAAATAATTTGTATTTTATTGTATAAAAAAAACTAAATTATCTATAATTGAATAGTTAATAGTTTTGAAATTTTTGTATTTGAATGAACAGTAAATGCATTATTTTTTTCGTTGGTGTCGTTTCAGGGAAATTAGTGTCCAATTTATTGTGAAATCATTTAAAAAAAAAATAATTGAATTAACAGTTATTTATTTGTAGTAATTTGCAGTATTTGTCTATTTTTTAGAAAGAGAGAGAGAAATCACGAAAACATATTAAATTACAAAATTTGTCTTAAATTAATATTTTGTTAAAATTAATGTTTTTATTTTGACTTAAAATAAGACAATAATTTTATGGTAACTAATAGGTGGTAACTGTGCATAATAATAGATTATAAGTTATAACAAATTGTATTATAATTTGCAATACTAAATATTTAAAAAAAAATAATAAAATTAGTAATAGTAATAAAATAAATAAATAAAAATAATGATATAACAACTAATTTAAATTTTTTAAAAATGTTACTGCTAATTATTTTTTTATACTTAATTTTTATTATAAATCTATACAGGGGTTAGTAATTTTTTTTAAAAAAACTGCAATATTAAATATTAAAATATTTTTTTTAAAATAAAATAAATTATTAAATTGACAAAAAAATATGTTACAAAATAATAGCATTGAATTTTTTTTTATTTTAAAAAATTAATTGTATTATCATATCTTGTTTTTTTTTTGTTTAGATAAATAAGTTGTTGAAAAAATATTTTGAAAATAAAATTTATAATTGCACTAAATTATATAATACTATATTTCACATATTTAAGATATACTGTATATAAACTTTATATAATATATTTTTAATTAAATAGATAGAAATGTGATATTAAAATATTGATTAAAAAATTAATTAATAATTTGTTATTATTAGTACAATTTTGAGTTCAATTATTAATTATTAAACTTATATCTAAAATATTTTTTTTATTGTAATTTCTATAACAATTATCAAAAAAATTGTACTAAACTTATTGTACAAAAAAAAAATAATATAAATAGGTATTTATAAGTTTTTTTTGTTATTGAAAAAATTTCACAATTAAACTCAACTATATAATGAAATTATTATTATTATTAGCGATCAGTGCGTTTGTATGGACCGGTTGTTGGGCCGGTATTCCCTGGAAAGGTGAGCCCCGGACGGATGACTGGTGGAAATCCAGACACCAGTTAATGTTGAATCAGACACGCGATCATAAGACAGATTTGAAAGTCATATTTTTTGGCGACTCAATTACCGAGGGCTGGACAACATCGACCGGTAAGGACTTGTGGGCCAAATCCTATGCTCCGAGACATGCCTACAACTATGGTATTGGTGGCGACAAAACCGAGCATCTCATCTGGCGTATGGAAAACGGCGAATTTGATGGTCTAGACTCCCGGGTGGTTGTCCTAAAAATCGGTAACTATACCACTGGGGGGGGGGTGAGGGGTTCGCCTCTATTTTCATAATAATAATTATTATTTAAAGTTATTATCATTTTTTAATTATCATATATATATATTATATATTTATATATCTATCTAAAAATCTAAATATAAATCTATATAAAATTAAATCTATATCTATATATATATATATATATATAATCTAAATCTATATATATATCTAAAAAAGGTACCAACAATTTGTTTGACAATACCGTCGAAGACATTGCCAAAGGTATCCGAGAAATTGTTGACCAACTCGTACGCCGACAAGTGAACACCAAAGTCCTATTGTTGGCTATTATTCCCCGACAGGGACGCGATCTCGAGCTCAAAGTCCAATCAATTAATACCATAATTTCGAAATACGGTGACAATAAACGTGTCTTTTATTTGGATATGACCGACCATTTTGAGACCGATATCGGTGTCGAAATTGCCGACTTGTATAGCGATACCGTACACCTGACCGTTAAGGGCTATCAGGTCTGGCACGACGTTATGGAGCCATTGTTTAGCAAACTATTGAATTGAATTATAAATATATGATATATAAAATTTATATATATAAATATTAAGTACATATTATAATCTATTTTTTTAAACAAATAATAAAATTCAATTAAAATTCAATTAACATTATTTAGTTTAGTATACATTGAAATATTATAACTTATTTAAATATTGTTTTTTAAAAAAAAAATATTTTTTAATTAAGTTAAACGATTTAAAATTAATTAATTAATTAAAAAATAATTTTTAATTTCAATTATTATAATAACATAGATATAGTAATTACATTAAATTCTTGATAATGAAATATAAAATATTTTTATCATATCTGTTGAATAAATAAAATAAATTTTTTTTTGGACAATAGAAAAATAAAATAATATTTTTCAACAAATCTATTTACACTTATAATACTTGTAATAATTATAATAAGAAATAGTATACTAATAAGTTATAATTAAGTAATTATAATAATAATAATAATAATAATAATAATACTTAAGATAAAAATTAGTAAAATTGATAAAACTATTGAAATATATATAGCATATATAGACAAGTTTAATATAAAGTTATACAATATTTATACTGTATATACATATATATATATAAAAATTAAATAATAAGTTAGAGAAAGTTTTTCCTTTTAAATTACAATTTAATCTCTAAATTCACTGACATTATACAGTATATATATATACTGTATATTCATATATTTTTTCCAAACAATTGCACCACAAATCTCGGTGTGAAAAGCCATTCATTGACCCATTCATTGATTGAAACAAAACTAAAAAATATATTAATAATACAATTAATAAATTTCTATGAAACATGAAAAATATTTCACAAATAGTTTGTTTTTATTTTTCAAATATATTTATATAAATATTTATAAATAATATTTTATATATTGTAATTTAAAATAAACTTATATTTTAATATAATATCAACATATATTTAATATTATTGTGTACAAAATAATAATTTATATCTAAATACGTTAATATTAAAATATACAGTATAGTTAAATACCATAAATAATTTTGTTTATGAAAATAAATAAATAATTTTTAATGTTATATTTTTATACGTTTAAAAGTATCATAAATTTATATTGATCAATATAATTTGAAATACAACAAGTTGTTTAATAAATAAATTTTTATTTGTGTTAAATATGTATATATTGATTACAATATCCAATAATAATAATAATATAGAACTCATTTATTAAGTTAATAAAATTATAATAATTTATTTTTATAAAATAAAAATAATATAACAAAATCTAAATGTGTTAATAATAGTAAAAAACAATTAGGATATTTAAATATCTATTAATCTAATTAATCTATAAATTGATATTTAATTTCGGTTTCAATTTCATAGTTTAACAGTTTAACTGTTTAAACCAGTTATCTGTCCATTGATTACTAACTGTTCCGTACTATCCATTGTAATCAATTTGTCACAATTGATAGCAATATAAATGTATACTAAATTATTTTTGTTTTAAAAAAATTATAACATATAATTTGATAATTTAATATTAAATATATTTTAAAAAAAATATATATACCTATAATTAACTAATTTACCAAGTTCCAAATAGTATTGGTGTAATCAATGAGCTCGATAATTGCATAATTATCAGATTGAAAAAAAATCAATCTATATTTTATTATTAAATATAATAATAATAATAAAATATATATTTAAAAAAATAATAATAATATTTTAAGTTTAGAAATTAATAGAACATACTTGATCAGTTTGTACAATAGTTATAAATGTATTATTATTATTATTATTATGATTAATAAATGGCAAATTCAATGTATTATTATTATTACTGTTACACTTAACATAAGTCATATTAACATTTTGAACATACTTTTGCCAATAGACTAAATTATTTGAATTTATATAATCAATTGGATTACCAAAAATGTTGAATAAGGCTTTTTGTGTGACATATAAACCATTTTTTTTTTAAATAACTTAATTTTATGATTTAATAGTATATTTTAATCAAAACTTTTTAACTAAACTCATATCGTTGCATAAATATACAGTATAAACACTACAATAATTAATAATATACTTGTAATTATTTTTATATTTATTATATATATTTTTTTGTTAAAAAATAATTATTTAATTAATCACATGGTTGTTTTTATCGATTTTTTTTATAAATAATTATTTTGATACTTTTGATTTCATTACAAGTACATGTACTATTTATATGCTTTATTATAAACAGTTTATTATTATAATTATTATAGAATGAACCTAGATAAAATTAAAATATAAATATTAACTATTTGAATTTGCTTAGAATATAAAACACATGTTAAATATAATTAAATACTAAAATTTTCTAATTTTCCTGAAAATTCTTAATAATAAAAATAAATTATTAAATTATATTAAAATATATTCGTCTTATTAATAATATTGAAAAAAAGTTAATGTTAGACCTTTTTTTTAATAACAATAGTATTATTATCAAATATTAGATAAAATTTTTTTAATAAAAGTATAAAATATTTTCTGTATACATATTACAATATACAATAAAATATAATATAAAATAAAATTTCTAAATATATACATATCTAAAATGTGTACTATATTCAATCTAACATAATTTTATTCAATTTTTTTAAATAGTTAATTTATATTTGTATTTATATGTAATACAAATAAATTAATAAATATTTTAATAATTAATAATAATAATCAATAATAATAATAATATTTAAGATAAAAAAATTAGAAAATTGATAAAAATATTGAAATAAATTTTATGAAATAATATTGATAATCAATTGTTTGAAATAAAAATAAAAATTACTAACATTTTTTTTAGTCTAATATATACATTAGTATTTAAAATTACTATAATTATCTAAAATATTTATATTTTTTTTTGCTGAAATTGTAAATACATTGATCCGCATAACAACTATCTATTGTTTTATTTTATTACATAACCAGTAGTTATACTATATAAATAAATTTAAAAAAAACATATAAAATTTATATAATATTTATTTTGCTAACAAATTTTTTTTATTTATTTTTTTCAATTCAAACAACAATAAAAAAAATTGTTAAATAATGCAATTATTATTTGTATGGATTAGTTTGGGCACAGTTGGACACATATGGACGGGTTGTTGGGCCGGTATTCCCTGGAAAGCCGAGCCCCGGACCGAGTGGTGGTGGACAGATAGACACGAACTACTAGTCAACCAGACGCGCGATCATTTGGCCGATTTGAAAGTCATATTTTTCGGCGATTCCATTACTGAACTCTGGGTCAGAGGTCAAGGTTGGGACCTATGGTCCGAGTCGTATGCGCCGAGACATGCCTACAATTACGGTATTGGTGGCGACCGTACTGAGCATCTAATATGGCGTATGGAGCATGGTGAATTTGATGGACTAGATAGCAAACTGGTTGTCCTATTAGTTGGTTAGTTAACTACTGTTCCTCTCTCTCTGTCTCTCTGTCTCTCTGTCTCTCTGTCTCTCTGTCTCTCTGTCTCTCTGTCTCTCTGTCTCTCTGTCTCTCTGTCTCTCTGTCTCTCTGTCTCTCTGTCTCTCTGTCTCTCTGTCTCTCTGTCTCTCTGTCTCTCTGTCTCTCTGTCTCTCTGTCTCTCTGTCTCTCTGTCTCTCTGTCTCTCTGTCTCTCTCAGTATTATTATTATCGGTTATATTTTCCCGGTATATATCTATATCTAAAGGTACGAACAATATGGAGGCCAATACTGCCGAAGATATTGCCAAAGGTATCCGGGAAATAGTTGACCAACTTTTGAACCGACAGTTGAACACCAAAGTACTTGTATTGGGTATTACTTCCCGACACGAACGGGAACTTGATGTCAAAGTACATTCAGTTAACCATATAATTGCCGACTATGCGGACAATAAACGTGTCTTCTTTATGGACATGACTGACCATTTTGAGACCGATATCGGTAAAGTGATTGCCGACCTATACATGGCTGACGGTCTACATCTGTCAGCTAAGGGCTATCAGGTCTGGCACGACGTTATGGAGCCGTTGTTCAGTAAACTATTGAATTCATAATTGTTTTTTAACAAAAATAATAATATGAAATCATTTATAATAAATTATTATCGTTATTATTATTATCATTATTATTATTATGCAACTTATGATATAACACTTTCACTAACAATTAAATAAAAAAAATTATTATTATTATTAATGAATAAAGTGTGAGAATATTATTATTATTATTTTTTTAAATTAAACGATTAAAAATATATGTTAATTTTGTATATATATATGACAAAAAAATAAGTAAATAAAAATAGTTTTAAGAAAAAAATAAATACTTATGAAAGTCATATATAACCAGTTGAGAATGCTAAAAAGCATTTCCATACGAACTCCTTATCCAAAGTAAATTTTACTGATGTTGGGTATCAAATGATTTAGTATGACAAAATAAACTCAACTATAGTCATGTGAGTTATCAAATGATTCAGTATGACAAAATAAACTCAACTATAGTCATGTGAGTTATCAAATGATTCAGTATGACAAAATAAACTCAACTATAGTCATGTGAGTTATCAAATGATTCAGTATGACAAAATAAACTCAACTATAGTCATGTGAGTTATCAAATGATTCAGTATGACAAAATAAACTCAACTATAGTCATGTGAGTTATCAAATGATTCAGTATGACAAAATAAACTCAACTATAGTCATGTGAGTTATCAAATGATTCAGTATGACAAAATAAACTCAACTATAGTCATGTGAGTTATCAAATGATTCAGTATGACAAAATAAACTCAACTATAGTCATGTGAGTTATCAAATGATTCAGTATGACAAAATAAACTCAACTATAGTCATGTGAGTTATCAAATGATTCAGTATGACAAAATAAACTCAACTATAGTCATGTGAGTTATCAAATGATTCAGTATGACAAAATAAACTCAACTATAGTCATGTGAGTTATCAAATGATTCAGTATGACAAAATAAACTCAACTATAGTCATGTGAGTTATCAAATGATTCAGTATGACAAAATAAACTCATTTTTAATTCTCTACAAAATTCTTAACGTTAAAATTTTTAACTAATTTTTTTCTTTGACCATTTTTTCTATCTTCCCGAAGAGATATCAAAATTTTAAAGCATATTTTTTATGCTTGTTTTTGATGCTTTATTCAAATCTATACTCAAAAATTTTTACCTAAAATTTTTTTGACTGGCCGCCATTTTCTCTATGTTCCCGAAGAGATATCAAAATTTTAATGCTGATCCCCTATACCTTATTTTTGATGCTTAATCCAAATCTGAAGTCATAATTTAAAAATTCAATAAATATATATAAGGACGGAAGGACATATAGAATTCAGATACGTACTCCTTTCAGGAGTTCGTGAATATATATATATATATATATATATATATATAGGCTTTAGTTATACACTAAATACTACTACTTGTGCTAACTATGCTTAACAAACAAAACAGTATTCAAAAAAAAAATAACTAATTTTAGTATAATTTCACGGTTTGCTGACCTTTAATTAATTGACAACAAAAATTAAAAGTTTAATATAAAGTTATATTATATTTATACTGTATATACATATATATAAAAAAAATTAAATAAAAAGTTAGAGAAAGTTTTTTTTCCTTTTAAATTACAATTTAATCACTAAATACACGGTATATTCACTGACTGTATATACTGTATATACAGTATACATACTATGTGTCATATATTAGAAAATATATATATTTAAACATATAATATATTAATAGTGTGTTTAAGTTTAATAGTATTATTTTTTTGTGTGGTTTATTACATTAATTATAAAGTTTAGTGTGAAAATAGATAATTATGTTAATTAAACTATATATATATATATTGTTATATATTGCAAATAAGTTTATTTAATACCATTATAATTTATATCTAAATTGTGTACAAGCATTTGAAAGTTTAAAAAATAATAATATCAATATATAAACTGTATATTGTTTTTGTTTTTTATATAAATTTTATTTTTGTTGTTGAATTTTACTGATTATTTTTCAATTGACTTTATTATTATGGCTTTTTAAAGGTCTAAATAAATAAATTGAAAGTTTGAATGTCAAGAATGCTATTATTATTATTATTTTTAATTATATTGTTGTTTGTATTGCATTTATTGAGTAGAGAGAGAGAGAGAGATAGAGAGAGAGAGAGAGAGAGAGAGAGAGAGAGAGAGAGAGAGAGAGAGAGAGAGAGAGAGAGAGAGAGAGAGAGAGAGAGAGAGAGAGAGAGAGAGAGAGAGAGAGAGAGAGAGAGAGAGAGATAGAGAGAGAGAGAGAGAGAGAGATAGAGAGAGAGAGAGAGAGAGTTTTAGTTGTTTTATAGTATTACGAAAGGTTTGGTCAGAAAAAAATCAAATAAAAATACTTAAATATAACACAAAATATTACTTATAGTCTATAGTCTACTAATACATAGTAGTAGTAGTAATAATAGTAGACATAGTAATCAATTTATACTATATATAKGTACAGTATATCTGATATTTAATAGGCTCTTCTATAATATATAAACTTAACAATAGATATAACTTATATAATATAAATTGCAATTTAATATAAATTTGATAACAAGTGTATATATATATATATACAGTATATGTAAGAGTATAGTACATTAAATTATATTTATAATAAAAATAACAATAATATACTGTATATATATATATTAAACGTAGAAAACCCAATTTGATAGGACTTACTGTACCGATATAAGTAGGTATAGATACTGTATGATTCCGTATCAGGGTTTAACATGAGAATATTAAACACCCCCCAAATTACGCAACGCAGTTGCAATGACGCTATAACATGACACAATACTTAAATAATACACAAATTACGTTATTACACAAATAACGTTAAATAACGTAAAAAAATACACAAATTACGATATCACTTACCGGACGATTACGTGACGACTTTTTTATATATATTTTAGCACTTTTATTAAGAATTCTTTCTATTTTATATGATTTATTATTAATACAAACTAAGAGAAAAAGAGAAATTAAGCCTAATATGCCTAATCTCATAACAGAAGATATCTAAAGACAAATATTTTACCATATTTTAAATAAAAACGGTAATTTTTATTTTAATATTAATTGTTATAATATTGAAGATTTAAACCTTATTTAAGATTGTTTTATTTTTTTATATGAAAAATTTAATAATGAGTTTAAATTTTCGACCAATTTATGATGAAAATTTATCAGATTTATTAAAATTTATTGATTCTATGCCTTGTTTATTTTTATTAGTATACAATATTAATTCTGAAAGTTATGAAACAATAAATAAAAATTCAATTAAAGATAAACTTTATATATTTTTGGCATAAATCTTTGGAAGTAATTTTTTTAATTATTTAATAAATTATTAATTTTTTCATTTCTATTTAGATGAATAAATGAGACCGAAAATTTTTTAACCATCACCATTTGGATTTAACATATGTAAAGCTTATTACACATTGACTTTAAAGGAAAAAAACGATCACATACGAGAAGTTCATCCATATATAATTGTTAAAAAATGTTATATTTGTCATCAAATTTGTTGTGGTTCAATAAACTATTTTAAACATTTAAAATTGTCACATAAAAAATGTTTATACATTAAAAAAAATTATTAAATAAAATGTTATTTTATTTATAAAAATATTTATAATAATTATATATATATATTATTATTCATACCACACGTTAAATTAGTATTGTATTAAATTGTATAATGAATAAAGTATGAATTCATAAATTAATTTTGTAATGTCAAATTAATAAAATACAAATATATATTTATAAATTTTTCAAAAATACTTGTTTTCATTGTTTCAGAGCTCATAACCTTGTATTTTTTGTGATCCTTCTGAGCTTATACCATTATATTGTTTAATTTTTCGTAGATCTATTTACATATAAATGTTTATTGTCGTAGAGCTTATAAAACACTAGAACAAGCTTTTAATGATTATTGGGAATTAATTACAAATAATACAATTGAACTTTTAGGAGTAACTTTCGTTAATGATGAAAGAATAATTTATACATGGAAATATATAGATGACAAAGATTATGCGAATAATTATAATGTAGCTGTTGCATCATTTGTGCAAGAATTAAATTGTTCGAAATTATGAAGCGAATTAAAACAATAAAACCTAAAAGTCTCTTATATCATGATACAGATAGTGTTATATTTTATCGTACGTTAACAGAATCAATAATAGAGTGGTGATTATTTAGATGATTTAAAAGATTAAATTACTTAAGATTATACATGAAATTCAAATTGTATATTATTTGCAGCGCTAGGGTCTAAGAACTATGGCTTTAAAGATCAAAAAGCAGATAATACATTTGTTTCTATATTTAAATGTAAAGGAATAACTTTAAATTATTTAGCAAAACAATGTGTTAATTTTGAAATAAAATTTCGAGACACTAATGAAAGAAATATAATAAAAGTACCGCAGACAATTTGACATAAATAAATATAACGAGATCAAACCTAGATTTAAGATAAAGAATTTAGAGTAATATCTGATAAAAGGTTTATTAATGGCTTGTATAAGTTTCCATATAGTTAGATGATCAGATTTTAGAGTAACAATTCAAGTATTTTTATATTTATTAATTAAACAATTTTTTATTCTACAGTTTAATAATTCGTCTAGACCATGAGATCAAAGACCTCCCAATTATCACTATTGTGAATTTTGTCGCCAGCAGAGCTATCCGGAAACATTTGATGGCGATAAGTCGGATGATGACTCTGATTATAATGACATTATACGACCCTGCGAAGAATTGGGAAATGGTTGATGATGATGTCTACGAAGACATTATCATTATTGTCAATGGTGGCCCTCATAATCACCCGATCACCCTAACGAAGCCTCAGAAGACGACGAATAGGACATTATTGTCATTTGCGAAACCAACGCTGGTTACTTTATTCAATATTAATAATATTTATATCTTAATATATTACAATATATAATTTACTTTTATATAATCAGTATTTTTGTATTTATACATATTTATAAAAATTATATTTATATAATATATTTATATATATAATCATATTAAATAATGTTATCTAACTTTATTAAATAATTAATAAAATATTTTAAAATATAAATAAATCTTTTAAATTATTTAATAATATATTAATATTTTAGATAAACATATAAATAAAATAATTAAGTACAAAATAAAAAATAAAACTGGTATTAAAAGTAATGGGTTAATTAATTATAGCCAATTAGGTCTTCATAGGTAATTAATATTAAAGTTAGGTTCGGTTAATTAGTAATTTTTAAAATTTTAATTAATTATTTTATTGTCGTAATTGACTTTTTCTATCTTAAATATAACGGTTTTTAGATTGTTGATGTTTTGGATGGAATGACGGCTCCCACAAGTGATCATCAAATTAATTTATTAAATTTGGTGTAAAAATACTCATAAAAACACATCTACAGGCATTTTCAAGGCATTATACGCGCTATATTCAAATAGAAAAAATGCAAGTTTTTCAACCAATGAATGTTCGGAATTGACCTTTTTTACCAAACAAATTACGACATTATAAAGGATTTCATCCAGAATTGTCAATATTTTATGAAAAATGGACTTTCAGAATATGAATAAGAGCCAATAAAGAATTTAGAATCTAATCATTTATATATTTATAAATATAATTATTTATTTATTTAATTAATTAGTTTTTTATTAACCAATCAAAACCTCCTAGATGTGTATCCTTCCTACCCATGTTAAACTGCCATATAAACCAAAATTCAATTTATGCCTACTAGTAAACTTCATTCTTATTACTATGTGCAGGAATGAAAATTGATATGGCATAAAAATCTTTATTAAAATACTTTTACTTCTGCGTTTAATTTTTTTCATTTCAATGACTTGAAGTGAAATTGAGGCCGCTGCTGATCAATACAATTGTATTTAAATTTAAGTATATGCTATATATGAATAATATATAATACATAGAAAGGTGTTATATAATTCTGCCGATTTTGAAAACCATATTTTTTCTATACATTTATCAGAATTTTTTAGATAAACTTTTTTTGTGATCATCATTAATATGATCTAATATAATCGTATAACTTACATAAAAATCTTTATGGTGTATGTGCCATTTATCCGACCAGGATACATTATCCCGGTCCATTTTTTTAAATTATGAAATTATTTCTTTTTTGTTTTCATTTTTTAAAAAATTAAATAATATATTTTTTCGTCTTATATATAATTTTTTAAATAGTTTTTTATAAATAAAATATTAGAGAAAGAGAGAAAAGAGTTAGAGAGAGAAAGAGAGAGAGAGAAAGAGTTATAGAGAGAGATTACCCTAATAAAATATTTTTCTCATTGTTAAAATTGATCGTATAGCAAATTTTACACAATAAATTATTATCTATTTTTTCTATTTATTACATTTTTAATTTTATTTTATCAGAATAAATTTTTTCATTTTGTATTTTAATAAATTTTAATATTTTTTTCTTTTAAATACCTACATTGTGGATAATATTTAGCATGTTCTATCAGTGGGTCATCAGATATACTTATCATAAAACTAAATTATTACTTATCTTATATATATAAATAACAATTATATTTATTTATGTATTTTTAAAAACTAATTATATATTATAAATATTATAACATTGTTTTTTATTTTAAAAATTTTATTAGATCTCACTAATAAAGTATACCACTGTAATATTTGCAATTATATGGATTGGCAAAAGAAAGGTATGAACTCATATTTTAATTAAATATAAGGAAAATCTTGTGGAAACTCATGGCAATGATAAGGATTTTTATTACATCAAATATTTGAAACAATTATTTTTTTTTGTCATGTATACAATATATAAAATATATTTAAAAATCATTTTTATTAACATTAATATATATCTATTTACTTATAATAACTGTTATATTAATATATTAATATAATAATTACTGAACCTATATTTTTTACATATATAACACTTCATAAAATGCCGTTAATTTTAAGGCATATAAATTTTGTTTTTATATATAATATATTTTTTAATTATAGATATTTTAATATAAATAATATTATTTTAATCAATAATATATTTCATAGTCATTTCTAATAATTTCTTATCATTAAAAACAAATTTTTTATCAATTATTATTTTATGTTTAGAAATCAAAATTTTTTTTTATTTATTTGTACATTTATTTTATGTATAATTTTTTAAATAAACATATATTTTTAACTATAAAAAATGACAATTTATTTAAATATTAAAAATCAAATGTTAAAATATAAAATTTATTTTTCCCCTGAACTTACCTGTTTCAATAGTAATAAATAGAAACACAGTTTATATTATTAATGATTTATTTTATATTTAGTTATAGACATTATTCATAACTAATTGTATTTATATATCTGTATATTTAAATAAAAAATTAATACATTTTTAATTCAATTATAATTGAATTTTATTTCAGTTTTAATTTTTTCCGCTGTGTAGTTTTTGTTTTATTCATCGTTTATAAAAATACAATAACTCCAGACAGTAAGTCGCGTCAATATATACCAGTGTTGGCCAACGTATGGTATATACAGTATATTTGATGTAAAAATATAAACTAAAATCAATTTAGAGTATAAAACGGTTTCGGTTTTCTAGAGAAATTTTTTTTTGTTATTTTTATCTCTAATATTAATTCTTTTTTATTCACTTATCCAACAGTTTATTAGTATATATCGTATAATACGTGTTATACAATATATCGACAATTTATTTATAGTTTAGACCCAAAAATCAACAAAAAATTGCTTCAATTGTTTCAAACTGTTGTAAATTTTTACTCTAATATAGACTCTAATAGTTTTTTTTGTTATATTTTTTGTTGTTGTATAATATATTCATTTATGCAATAATTTTGTTACAAGTATTAAAATAATAATAAATGAAATAAAATGTTAACTAATCGAAGCGTATTTTTGAATGTATTTTTTTTAAAAAAAAATCTTAAAATTTTATACAATGAAATAAACATTTTAAAAAAATCACAAACATATGCTAAAAAATCTTATAATAAAATAATATAAAAAAATATTTTAATATACAAAATGTAAGTTATATTTAGTGAAATGGGAAAAAAATGTTTAATTTAATTTCATAGATGAATGAATTATTTATATTTGAATTTTATTTATTAAAACATAAAAAATAATATAAAGATTTTTACAAAAATTTTATTATTTTAATATTATATGTAATTATAAATTTGTGGTTAAATTTTAATATTTTAATTAATTATAATAAAAAATAAAATTAGTAAATCTAATTTAATTATAATCATGAAAATATAGTATTTATTGTAAACTAATAATTTTTATGATTAATGAAAAATTTATTATAATTTATAACAATTTAATACATAAAAGTATATTAACCTTAACTAATATTATACAGTAAATAACAATAGTTTTAAGTTTATAATAAATTTATTAAAATAAATATGTAATTATTAACACACAAAAAAAATATTATTGTCATTATGTGATTAATAAAAAATTAGTAATTACTAATAGTTTCAATAGTAAAGTAATAATTTTAATTAAAATAAAAATAATACAAACTATTACAACAAACATATTTAATAATATTTAGTTGAATATTGTTTAAAATAAAATAATTAATAATTAATATTAATATTATATTCAACTAAGTTTATAAGTTTTATATATTTTTTCATAAATAATTTTTTAATTACACAATTTATTTAAATTAAAATATAATATAGTTATACATATATAAATGTTGAACATTATGTTAACAACAAAACAACTAATAATAATTGTATTATTTTTATATTATTTAAAAGCTAATAGCAAACAATTTCATGTATCAGCTGACGATGAGATAAAATCATTGCCGGGTTTATCGTTTAAAATTAATTTCAAACAATACTCGGGTTATCTGAACACTAGTAGCGGTGATTATCTGCACTATTGGTTTGTGGAAAGTCAGTCTAATCCCGTAACCGATCCAATAATACTATGGTTAAATGGTGGACCGGGATGTTCCAGTTTGGATGGATTTTTATCAGGTAAACTATAATAGTGGTGACAATTTAAAAGTAAATTTGATTATAGTATATAACTATATTAATTATAACCAGTTTAAAAAAACTGTGAATACAGATAGTGTATGAATTTTAAAAATGACCATGGGCATAATTGTAGATAATATATTAAACTCATTGTAATTGATGATTTTTTTCGATTAATTGTTAAATTAACTAGATAAATCAACTATATGTATTATGTAATCGATACGCTATTATCTAGTTAATTTTGCAATTAATCAAAAAAAAAACGTAATCAATTACAATAATGTCCTTGGTCATTTTTTCAAATTGAATGTATGGTTTACTAGATATTTAATATAAATTACCTGTTTAACCTGAATATTATCCCAAATGTATATATATATATATATGCTAACTGTATTCACACTTTTAATAATACTGGTTATAATTGTGGTTTAGAAAACGGTCCGTTTTATATGCTACTCAATAGCACTGTCCTACATCATAACCCCTATAGCTGGAACCTGAAAGCCAATGTTTTATATTTGGAAACACCAGCCGGTGTTGGGTTTTCCTATAATAACCGAAACAATATCACTACTAACGATGACCGGTCAGCCAAAACAAACTACGAGGCAGTGCTGAGCTTTTATCGCAAGTTTCCACAATTCAAAGCTAACGATTTTCATATTTTTGGGGAAAGTTATGCCGGCGTTTATATACCATTGCTGGCCATCAACATTATCAACGATCACTCAGCAGATATTAATCTTAAAGGTTTGGGTATTAACGGTGGATATTTGGATCAGACACTGTTGGGTAATTCATTAATATATTACAGTTATTATCACGGTTTGTTTGATACGGTTTTGTGGAACCAGTTAGTAGGCCAGTGCTGTCCAGGAGGTAATAGTATCAACAATGACTGTAGTTTTGTCAATACAACTGATAAACAATGCGAAGCATTGGTAAATAAAACAAGTGATATAATTGAGATGGAGTTCCTTAACAACTATAACCTTTATGCTGACTGTCCCGTCAATATTGTATATAACGAGAGTCTCGGTAGGACAGTGCCCCGTGTTGAATACGATAGTAAACTAATAGGCCTACAATTGGGTATGGAAGTCACCATTGATGGTGGTGACGACGGAAATTTTTGTCTGTCCGACATCGGTATCCAGTGGCTCAACAGGCCTGATGTGCGCCGATCGTTACACATACCCGTAGCGGTTCAACCGTACAGTACGTGTAGTAAAGTTTTGGACAAAGAATATCACAATCAATATACAACACTCCGGCCACAGATACAGAAGCTGATGGCCAGTGACCGGAATCTAACTGTTATGATATACAATGGAGACACGGATATGGCGTGTAATTATTTGGGCAATGAATGGTATTGTTTTTTTTGTTGTTGATCCGTCTATATATTGGATGATCCCTTAAGTCTAATCTATTATTAATATTAGATATTTTTTGTGTCACTCACTCACCCACTCACTAGGTTTGTCGAAAGTCTAGGTCTAACCCAATCGACATGCTATACCAATTGGTGGTATAAGTATCAGGTGGGCGGCTATTATAAGGTCTACGAAAATCGGTTGGCATTTGCAACGGTTCGCGGAGCCGGACATATGGTACCCAAGGATAAGCCGGCAGAAACAATGCATTTGCTGAACATGTATTTCAATGGACAGATATTTAGAGATCCGAGTGGCGGTCAAAACAATGTTACCGATTGTTTGGCCAAAAAGTCTACCACCAGTTCCCAATCAGTTTCACCAAAAATAAACTCAACAAATAATATTAGTATTTTATTGATGATTGTATTCAATATTAGTTTAATATATTATATTATTTTTTGAATGATACGGCAAAAAATTAATTATTATATAAATCATAATATTTAATAATATAATTAAAATAATTTTATTGTTAAAATTAATTTTTTGATAAATAAAAATATTGAAATACATTATATATTTTTAAAAAAATTAATTAATACTAAAGTTTAAAAATATCTTTTAAATTTTATCTATTAGAATATAATACTAATAATATTAAAATTACTTTTTTAAAATTTTGTTTATTTATAATTTATTTTTGATGATAATTATAATTATATTGTGTGTTTATATTTTAGAAAAATTTTAAAACTTAATTTAAGTTAAATTTTCTATTATTTTTTAACTAAACTTCATTTGAAATATCTGCTATTGATAATTACTTATATCTTAATAAAAAATAATATTAATTTAATATTATTTTAGTGTAACTTTTACTAACATGATTAGTGATAAATATAATATATTGCATTATAACGGTTATTATTATTAAATTAAACAATTACATAACTAAATAATTAATTATTTTATATATCCTAGTTTTATTACTATAATAATATTTATTATAACAATAAAAAAATATTTTTTTTAATAACACTACATGTTATAAACAAAATTAACAGAAAATAATTAATAATTACAATACTAATCAATATTATTTTATAGTTATAAATTCACTGATTTATTATTTTTATTAAATTTAATTAAATTGAATTTTGTAAGTTTAATATAATAAGTCATATATTGAAAAAATAAATAAAATGTTTAACATCATATTAACAGTAAAACTATTGTTAATTGTATCATGCTTATTTTATATATTAACTAATTGTAAAGAGTTTAAAGGGTCGGCCGATCAGATAAAATCATTGCCGGGTTTATCGTTTAAAATTAATTTCAAACAATACTCGGGTTATCTGAACACTAGTAACGGTGATTCATTGCACTATTGGTTTGTGGAAAGTCAGTCTAAACCCGGAACCGATCCACTAATACTATGGTTAAATGGTGGACCGGGATGTTCCAGTTTGGATGGATTTATATCGGGTAATACATAGTTTATTTTTAGCAACATTACCCAAGTAGTAGTTTATTTAACTATTAATCCTAATTAAACTTTTTAAAATATAATGTGTTTTGTTTTATTATAGAAAACGGTCCGTTTTTAATGCTAGCTAAAAGCACTGTCCTACACCCAAACCCCCATAGCTGGAATCGGAAGGCCAGTGTTATCTATTTGGAAACGCCAGCCGGTGTTGGGTTTTCCTATAATAAACAAAACAAAATCGCTACTAACGATGACCGGTCAGCCAAAACAAACTACGAGGCAGTGCTGAGCTTTTATCGCAAGTTTCCCCAATTCAAGGCAAATGATTTGCATATTTTCGGAGAAAGTTATGCCGGCGTTTACATACCGTTGCTGGCCATCAATATTATCGACGATCACTCATCAGGTATTAATCTCAAAGGTATGGCCATCAATAATGCATATCTAGATCAGACACTGTTGGGTAATTCATTAATATATTACGGCTATTATCACGGTCTGTATGATACGGTTTTGTGGAACCAGTTAGTAGGCCAGTGCTGTCCAGGAGGTAATAGCATTCATAATGACTGTAGTTTTGTCAATACAACTGATAAACAGTGCAAAGCATTGGTAGATAAAACAAGTGATATAATTACTATGGAGTTCCTCAACAACTATAACCTTTATGCTGACTGTCCGGTCACTATTGTGCATAACAAGAGTCTCGGTAGGACAGTGCCGCGTGTTGATTACGATAGTAAACTAATAGGCCTACAATTGGGTATGGAAGTCATCGTTGATGGTGCCGATCAAAATGCCCCGTGTGTGACCGACAATGGGGTCCAGTGGTTTAACAGGCCCGATGTACGCCGAGCTCTGCACATACCGAAATCGGTTAAGCCGTACACTACATGTAGTAATGATGTGGGCAATGCCTATTACCAACAATACAAAACACTCCGACCGCAGATACAGAAGCTGATGGCCAGTGATCGTAAGCTAACTGTTTTGTTATACAATGGAGACACGGATATGGTGTGCAACTATTTGGGCGATCAATGGTATTAATTTTTTTCTATCTATATATATTAATCATGTTTAGATTACCCCTGGTAAGATATCCCTTTCCCCCCCCTTCCCCCATTAGAAACTATTTATCATGGTTTCTAAGGGGCGGGTAAGGGGTCATCTTACTACCACTAATAGCAATATTTTTTTGCTTCTTCATAAAAATAATAGTTTAATAATAAATTATTAATAATTAATATGTTTTTTAAAAATAATTAAACTTAATATATTAGAGATACAGTCAGAAAATTGGTTATTTTAGTATTAGTAATTTTTTTATGGAATTTACTAAAAGTTGTCAAAAATGTAATACAAATTATACAGCCCACACTACCCCTTCCCCCACCTTAAATATTTTCGAGATTTTTTTTTGTCATTCAACACAACCACCCACCCACCCCCAGTAATATCGATATCGTAAAACATTTAGCAACCCTGATTTATACGGGGAAGGGGGGGGCTATCTTAGATGGTCTAATTAATTATAAAAAATTAATTCAATCATACTTTATCAGGTTTGTCGAAAGTCTAGGTCTAACCCAATCGACATGTTATACCAATTGGTGGTATAAGTATCAGGTGGGCGGCTATTATAAGGTCTACGAAAATCGTCTGGCATTTGCTACGGTTCGCGGATCGGGACATATGGTACCCAAGGATAAGCCGGCACAGGCATTGCATTTGGTTAACATGTATTTCAATGGACAGATATTTAGAGATCCGAGTGGCGGTCAAAACAATGTTACCGATTGTTTAGCCACCCCTCCCAAAAAAAAGAGTCTATCTCTAACCACTAGATTATAGATCAGTTGCTATACTATAAACTCTATGAATTATAATTACATTTTTTTCAATTACTTATTAGAAACTTATAATTATTTTATAAATATATATTTATATATAGAGTAATTCATAGTTTTTTTAAATAAAAATTATAATTAAATAACTTATAATACATAATGATAGAATATATACTATAATTTTTAATTTAACTTAATTAATCTAGATAAATATTAATTGAAATATTTATAATTTAATTTATTATGTTTTAATACTTACTAATAAGTTTAATAATAATAATAAAATTTTTATTAAGATTTATTATTATTATATTTTCAAATATGATTTCAACATTATTTAGCATAATTTCTATAATAAATCACATATTAATTAAAATATAAACTAGGCACACATATTAAAAAACAATATATAAAAATAAATTAGCAAATATTTTTTAAAATTAAACATGGTAATAATCTAGTTAAAATTAGTAACAATTATTTATTGAATATAAATATTGATGATATAAAATAATTAACAACTAAAAAAACTTTATTAAATTAGTTAAATCTTTTATTTTAAATATGTTAATCTAATAACTTTTAATATTAGTTAAAACTAATTTAGTAAATAGGATATTAAATAAATATAATTTATTTGTTTATGTTTTTTATTACATCCTTTTTGAAAATATGATTCATTGATTTTCTTTTTTAAAAAAATAACTTTTATTATTTTATTTTACTTATTAAACTGACTGTTAAATACAATAATTTATTACATTTTGATTAATTTATTATCTTATTTTTATATATATATAAATATCTTATTATTTCTGTTAGCTATTGGATATATTGTTAAATAAATATAAATAAAGTATATAATTGAATATTAAAAAAAATAAATAATAAAACAATAATTTAATACAATTTAAGTCAATAACAATTAACATTATATTGTTTATGTGTTTATATTTTAAAACAATAGATAATTGGACAAAATTAATAAAAAAATATTATTTTCATTTATATTTTTTTGTATTAATTAATTTAAGTCAATTTTCTATTACATTATAATAGTTAAAAATTAATTTCAATTAAAATATCCACTATAATTACTTATATTTAAAAAAATAAATAATAATAAGTTAATATGTTTTTAGTGAAACTTTTACAAACATGATTAGTGATAAATATAAAATATTTCATATAACGCTTATTATTATTATAATTATTATTATTATTTTGGACAAAAATATGACTAATTATTTAATTATTTTTTTTATATATATCTTGTTTGATTACTAAAGCATAAATTATTTTTTTTAAATCTAATAAACAGATAACAATAATATATTAATAAATATTATATACAATAATATTTTTATCTTATTAAATACTAATACAAACTTTTTTTATGTTTGTAAAACAGTTACAAATAAAAATATTTGCAATTATTGGAAAAATAATTCATAGTCATTGTTAGACTAATAAAAAATTTACCAAGAAATTATTACTAAATTTAATTGTAAAAATATTAATTACAATAAAATAATACTAATAATAAAATGTTATTAATAAAAAATATATATATCTGAAAATGTTTTATTAATTAATAATTATTAATACGATTCAATATATTTTTTATTTATAAATTTACTGTTATTATTATTATTTAATAATTTTTTAATAATTTTTGTTTTAACTAAATTTTCTAATTTTTAAATTTATTTATTTTTTTTTGAGTTTCACATTAAAAATTATTATATAAAAAAATGTTTAGCATTGTGTTAACAGTAAAACTATTAATATTTTTAATATTTTTATTTTATACTAAAACTAATTGCAAACAATTTGAAGGATCAGCCGATGAAATAAAATCATTGCCGGGTTTATCGTTTGATATTAATTTCAAACAATACTCGGGTTATCTGAACACTAGTAACGGTGATTATCTGCACTATTGGTTTGTGGAAAGTCAGTCTAATCCCGGAACCGATCCACTAATATTATGGTTAAATGGTGGACCGGGATGTTCCAGTTGGATGGATTTATATCGGGTAATAGTGTTTAGAAATATACAAGCAAATTATCTAACTGTTTCAATTAACTATTGACTTATTCTGATTTTTTTATAGAAAACGGTCCGTTTTCAATGCTACCCAATAGCACTGTCCTACATCATAACCCCTATAGCTGGAACCTGAACGCCAGTGTCATATATTTGGAAACGCCAGCCGGTGTTGGGTTTTCCTATAATAACCGAAACAATATCACTACTAACGATGACAGGTCAGCCAAAACAAACTACGAGGCAGTGCTGAGCTTTTATCGCAAGTTTCCCCAATTCAAAGCAAACGATTTTCATATTTTCGGGGAAAGTTATGCCGGCGTTTACATACCGTTACTGGCCATCAACATTATCAACGATCACTCATCAGGTATTAATCTTAAAGGTCTGGCCATCACCAATGGATATCTAGATCAGACATTGTTGGGTAATTCATTGATATATTACGGTTATTATCACGGTTTGTATGATACGGTTTTGTGGAATCAGTTAGTAGGCCAGTGCTGTCCAGGAGGTAATAGTATCAACAATGACTGTAGTTTTATTAATACTACGGACAAACAGTGCGAAGCATTGGTAAATAAAACAACTAATATAATCAATCTGGAGTTCCTCAACAACTATAACCTTTATGCTGACTGTCCGGTCACTATTGTGCACAACGAGAGTCTCGGTAGGACAGTGCCGCGTGTTGATTACGATAGTAAACTAATAGGCCTACAATTGGGAATGGAAGTTATCATTGATGGTGCAAATGAAAATGTCCCGTGTCTGCCCGACATTGGTGTCCAGTGGTTCAACAGGCCTGACGTACGCCGTGCTCTACATATACCCGAATCGGTTCAACAGTATATGCCGTGTAGTAATGATGTGGGCAATGCATATCACAAACAATATGAAACACTACGACCGCAGATACAGAAGCTGATGACCAGTGATCGCAAGCTAACTGTTTTGATATACAATGGAGACACGGATATGGTGTGCAATTATTTGGGCGATCAATGGTATTGTTTTTGTTTCTGTTTATATATATATACTGTACAGTATATACGGTATTATCTCTTAAAGTCTAATCTAATTTGTATCAAATTATTATCAGGTTTGTCGAAAGTCTAGGTCTAACCCAATCGACATGTTATACCAATTGGTGGTATAACTATCAGGTGGGCGGCTATTATAAGGTCTACGAAAATCGGTTGGCATTTGTTACGGTTCGCGGAGCCGGACATATGGTACCCAAGGATAAGCCGGCAGAAACAATGCATTTGCTGAACATGTATTTCAATGGACAGATATTTAGAGATCCGAGTGGCGGTCAAAACAATATTACCGATTGTATACCCGAAAAGTCTATCCACACCCCTACTACCCGATCGGTTGCTATTATAAACTCTATGAATTATAATTGTATTTTGTTGTTAATCACAATGAATTTTATATTATATTACTTTATTTAAAAAAAATCAATTAAAAAAGTTCAATTACTTATTATTGAAACTTATATTATTATTTTATAAATATAAAAATAATTTATAAGTTTCTAATAATAATAAGTAATTTTGAATTTTGAGTAATTCATTGTTTGTGAAAGTTATAATTATTTAATAAATATTATATATTATATAACATAAATAAAATGAAATAATTACAATTTACTAAATTTTTCATATTTAATATTAAATCAATTTCTATTGATAATATTTTATTAATTTATTAATTTTTAAAGATTTAACATATATATATATATATATATATACAGTATATATAATTTAAATTATATTATCATATAATTTATGTTTATGTAAATTTAATATCAATATTATTTTAAATATTAAAAGTTAAATTATAAAATTAGCATAAATAATAATATAATATATTTTATTATTTTAAATATTATAAATTTTATAATCAACTTTTTTAAAAAATCCTACATACTTTAACCTTTATAATATATATATATATTGTACATAATATTTTTAAAAATAGTAAGTAAATAATATATATCAACATATATATAAATTTTAAATATTTAAATTGATGATGTTGATGTTGTTATACACTTATATTTATTTATTATGTTTATATTTATAGATATTGAAAGTAATATAAACTACAAAATAGTATTACAGTATATATTTATATTTATCTGTATTATGCAAACATTTGTTTTACTAAAAAATTTTGTTATTTTTTTTAACTATTGATTTTTTGTGTGAGTGTATACATTATTATTGGGCAAAATAGGATGATATCAATATATATATATATAATATTTTGAGACAACAATTTTTCAATATATCATTAGTTTGTTTTTTATTTTCGATAAACATGTTTGAAAAATAAAAATATTATAGTAATAACAACTTATAACATATTATTCATATACCAGTAGTAATACTGTATATTGTTTTTATTTATTGTATAAAAAAATGTTTTTTATACCCTAGAATTTATATATATATATTTATATTATAATAAAAATAGCTAATACTGTAATATCTATATATAAATATTCAAAAGCTATTTAAAATTGTTTTTATAAATATAATAAAACATTTTTTTTTGAATGACAAGTTTGACAATCAAAGTTATTATTGATTTTTATTTTTAAATAAAAAAATTTATATCTAAGTTTATATACTGTTTATATAAATATTTCAATTATGATATTGAATTCATGTCACATATGAACCGTACTTATAGTGTGAATGATTAAGAGATGATAAGAGTGAGAGAGAGAGAGAGAGAGAGAGAGTTAACAAGTTTGAAAAGTTTCATAATTTATTTGAAAAATAAATTATTACGTGTTGTTTATATATGATATGATATATCAATAAGATATCAGAAATAGTTTAAGTATTTATTTTAATTATTCAATTATAATTTTTAATGATATTTTTTTTAATATATTAAACTGGGCAAATAAAATGATTAGTAAAAAAAATTATTTGAAATAACCTTGATATACTGTACATAATCGTTTATAATAGACTTAATTGATAAATCTACTATAGTTAAGTTTTTAATAATATTTTTTAGTTATATTTTCATTTTAAAAAATGTAAAATTATACACTAAATTATATACAACTAAAAAAATACTAATACTATAATTAGAAAAAAACTTATTAATTTGGAAAAAACCAATTGTAATAAATTATTCAGTAATAATAAACAACAAAGATTTTATATAAAAAAATAAATAATTATCAACTAATATATATATAAATAATTGTTTTAATTACTAAAAGTGTCAACAAAACACACACACACACACAGTAAAGTCAATTAAATAGACAATACATTCATCTATTATATATATCATACTATTTATATAATATAATAATAATAATAATATAATAATAATGAGACTATCGATAATCAATGGCACATATGCTGTATGTCGACTACCAGCTAATCAACCGTTACCTCAATGGGTAGTTGACTGCTGTCAACGACAACAACACCCGACACCGACACTGCTATCAATTACATACACATCGGACGAGTTGTCCATTGTTTGTGACCAGTTGTCGGTACCGACAATTGTCGCCACCGACGACGCCGACAATGATTTCCGATGTCAGAAAAACTGGCGCTGTATCAAAGTGGACGGTCCGCTAGAGTTTACCGAAATCGGTATCATAAGCCAGTTGACGGCACCGTTAGCCGATAATGGTGTACCTGTTTTCATACTGTCCACCTATGATACCGACTATATACTTGTCAATGAATCGCATCTAATTAAAGCCAAACAAATTTTAGTTGAAAATAAACACACATTTCTTAAGTGATAAATGATAATTAAATAATTAATTTTTTTATAGTTCAGTAAATACCATATATACAGTATATATACTGTATATATAAATACAGTTAAGTATAATGAAAATCTATTTTTAGATAACTATTGTTTAAATATAATGTTATTTTATTTAATATAAATTTACTAAAATATTTGTTTTTGACATTTTTCTGTATTAATTTTAATTGAAAATAAAAATAGCTTTATTTTGTTTAACAAAATACAATATACTGTATATACGTATAATTTTAGTTTATTTTATTTGTTTTAATTAAATATATATATATATATTTATATGTATTATTATTATTACTACTATAAATATATTATATTAAATTCAAAATTATATTATTTTTAAAAAATAATATTTTATACTATCGACTGATATTGCAAATGCAATAGTTTTAGCATAAATTGTGTTCAAATTATTAATTAAAAATATAAATATTAAAATAAATGCCATATTAAATATTTTTAAACAAAATTAGCATAATTAGATTAAAATACTTTATAATTACTATTATCATTTTATATAATAATTTTCAAATTTTCTCACAATTTTGCTAATTATTTATTATTAAATTATTAGCAAAATATTAAATTATTTACACATTTTATGTTTTATGTTAACAATTCAAACAGAAATAAATAAATTAAATAATTAAAGTAATATATTATTTATATTTTTTCGGTATGAAAATTATTTAGCCATTATTAATATGCACACACACTCACATACATACACACACAAACACTAGTTAGTAAAATATAAATTATATTTATTTTTAACAAATTGTATGCTAAATGAATGCTAAAAATAACAATTTAAATATAATATAGTTGTGAACATACTGTATACCGTATATACAGTACTGTACAGTATATACGAAATATTACTATTAGGGTTAGATTAAATTACCTTCCACATTTTATTATCCAAAAAAAAAAGTTCCTAGGGAATATTCTATAACTTATTAAACTCTAAACAACACATTTTTTGTTATAATTTTCAAAAAATATTTATTAAAAAAAATAAAACAAATATTATAATAAACAAATGTATTATAAAGTTGTATTGATAAAATAGTATCATCAATAAAATTATTGAATTGAAATTTTGTTTTTGAATTATTTCAATATTTTTGTTTATGTTGCAAAACAAATGTTTAAAAATATTTTAAAAACAATATAAAATATATTTAAGTTATTGAATATTTTTTTAAAACATATTTTCCGGGAAAATTGGAGGAATTTTTTCTTTAAAAAAAGAAACTTCCTTCCCTGGGAATGTTTATCGAACTCTAGATGTCTACTATATATATATGTGTCTAATACACAAACGGGTGTTTATTTTATCAGTAGATAAATAGCATACAAATTAGTTATATTAAACAATGAATTAATGAATGGATGGATAAATTAAATGAATAAATGACTGACTGAATGAATGAAAGATTGAATGAATGAATGAATGAATGAATGAATGAATAGTTGAATAAAAATAAAATTTAAAAAAATATATATTTATATATATATATATATATATATTTGAAATTGAATTGAAAATATAATTAAACTTTATTTGCATTACAAAAAAAAACAAGATGGTTAAGTATAGTTAGTACCAAACAAATTAAATTGAATTGAATTGTGTGTCAAAACATATATCGTATAATATATATATATATATACAGTATATATATATATATACAGTATATATATATATATACAGTATATATACTGTATATAAAAAAACCTGACGGTGCAAACTGTACACAATTTTTCATGAAAAGTAAATAAATAAATAGATAGATAGATACAGTTAAATAGATTATTTAAAAGAAAAATAGTGACCAAATAATAAGCATTATTTATTTAATCTGGATAATTTTATAAAAAAATTTTTTGTTATAATTTTGATTTATATTAAAATCAATTTTTATACTAATTAATTATAGGAACAAATATAAATAAATAATCAATTATTGATTTATTATTAAATGAAAAAATATATTTATCAAATATTAATTACAATTATTATTATTTAGTAAATTTTTAAATATTTTTAAAAGTTTTAAAATCTATTATCAAATATAATCTCATATAAATAATTATCATAGTCACTTATTATTGTAATAAATAATTGTAAATATTTTTAGGTTTACATTTATTTTTTTAATTACTTATATTAATTTTGAAAAATAAATTGTATATTTATATATTATTTTATCTATCATTTATTAACCATTGGACTTTAATGCAATATTTAAACAAAATTATTATATGTACTGCAACTATGGATATCATGAATAGTCCAGAATAAACATATATTTTAGGTATAGTTTTGGTCACACTATAGATGTTGTAAATTAATTTTATGGCTCAAAGGGTCAGCCGACCGACCAATTCCTATGAATTTCTATTAATTACAAATGTTTTTATCAGGAAAACTGCAGTATTAATACATTATATGTTACTGTATAATATACAGTGTATATACTGTATATATAAATATAAACAATTTATATTACAATATAATCTATATATCTATCTATGTTATGACATAAACAGAATATTCTATAGTTTCTGCTTAATGTTTATATAATATTTATTATTATATTGAATATAACAGAATATTCTATTAAAATAAAACACTAGCAAACATGGAAACTGTCTAATGTTTTACATTAAATTAAAATAAATATATACAGTACAGTATATATATATATATACTTTTTTCTACTAAATTATTATTATTATTACATAATAGACAGGGAACCAAAAATTCTATACTATATTTAGATATGTCTAAAATAATTGATTGATTAGATAATAGATTAGTAGGATTTGTGTTATTATTGTTGTTTATGTTGTTATAGCTGTCATAACTTTTGTAATATGTTGTTGTTTTATGATTTGATTAATGATTTTTTTATATTTATATTTTTATGTTTGTATTACATTTCATATACAATACTTTATATACAGTTAATTTTATATATAATTTAATGTATAGTATTATATATCTATAGTTATTTTTGTTTTGTTTATTTTTTTCTACTATTATTTTACAAAATAAAATCGATAAAAATTTTCATTAACGTTAAACATATATATATATATATATATATATATATATATCAATAATCTTTTTAAATGGTTTTTTAAGTGGCCAACTAAATTAAACATTAAAATAAACTTGTGTATACAATAATTAATTGTATAATTTATAATATATATATATATATATATGTATATACTTAGTTTTGTTGCATAATATGAATTTATATGATATCTAAAAATTTTAATATTAAAAACAAAACAATTTATAGTTATAGCGTAAAACAAACAAAAAATATATATAATTTTTTTTAAAGGAAAAATGTGTTGACATTTAATATTCAATAAAATTTGTTTTTAAATAATTAATTAATTAATAAAACAATTATACTATGTGTGTGTGTGTGTCTATTAATTGCATAGGAATTAATCTTATATAAAGTACTATACAATTAATATAATTAATTATATTTATAATTTCATAATTAGTTCATAGCTTATCAAAATTACTAATCACTCTAATATGAAAACCAACCAAACATTTTCTATATACACTGTATGTATACTGTATTATATTATAAACAAAAAACAAAAGTTATGTACTATTAATACAATTAAAAACAAAGAGCACCGGTATTTGTTAGTAATGGCGATTAAGTGTATGTTTAATGTATATGTGTTATCACTGTTTGGTTAGTAAGATGTTTGACTGTTTGAGAGGGTTTGATGTAAACATAAACCAGAAAATTAAAGACCACAAAAACCAACACTTTTAATGTAATGCACTCTTAATATATACTAAAGTAAAGTACTGTATATTCAGTATATACTGTATATATATATATATAATATAAATAAGTATACATTTTCATGACAAATGACTTATACATTTAGATATATTACAGTACTATATATAAAATATAGGAATAATACAGTATTTATATATTACTATATATAATAATAATTATTATATGCTATATATTAATATTATATAAACAATATATATATGATATAATGTATATTAAGTTATATTTAATAATGAATTTAATTTCCAAATAAATAAAAATATATTACAGTGACTTATATTAATATAAAATATCTAATAATATACAGTATATTACTAATATAATATTAGTATAATTATATATACAATATATTTATGTATACAGTATATACCATAACAGTATACCACTTATGTGCTTATAAAATATATTAAAAAATTATTTGTCTACTAATAGATAGTAAATGCAATATATTTTGTGTTATACAGTATTTATTAAGTTTTCTTTAGAAAGAAAGAAAGAAAGAGAGAGAGAGAGAGAGAGAGAGAGAGAGAAATAGAGAGAGAGAGTCAAGAGTCCATTTCCTGACGACTATTTTATTTGACATTCAAGTATTAGCAAACATAATGTCAGAAAATACAGTATATATATATATCTACTGTAAGTTTTTTTTTGTATTATGTATTATCATTATCAATATTACTGTATATTAACTAAATGATGACCACAAAAAAACTAAAAAAAAAAATATAAATCATATGAAATATATTTTCATTTACTATACTTTACCACCCATAAATGTGATAACATCAATTTTATATACAAAATAAATAAAAATAAATATTATATATATATATTTTTTGTTTATATAGTGTGAAAAACTTATTATTGATTTTGTTTGATTGAAATATTATTGATTTAATTTACAGCAATAAAGTATAATAAATGTAAATAAATTGTATTTATTTGGTTTATATTGCATTTATTTTATTTTATTTTTAAAAAAATAGTAATTGATCAATTTTTTATTTATTTACTTTTTTATGTTATTGGTTGTATACTACATTAAAAACTAATCAATTTATATTTAGAGATTGTATGATATGTATCTATAATACTTATATATATATACAGTATATTACATAATAATATAACACTGTATATAATATTTATTGATTGATTTATTTATAAATAGTTACGTGTCTAACAGTTTGATATACAGTACTACTACTACTACTACTGTATTAACTGTAATAAATTATTACTAATAATAATGGATTAGTTTTTTTGTGATATATATATATATTATATTTAACGGACACTTCCCGTAACGGGTTTTTTTTGGGTTTTATATAAAATTATCGGTTAAAACAAATTGTCTGTAACTAATCTAACTATTAGTGAATTAATTTTTTATATAAAAATAAAATATTTTATTAAGTATTATATGTGTTTTTTGGTTAGATTTTAATACAGATAAGTGTTTTTTTTTGACTCGTAATATACAGTGTCCATCCTTTAACATGATTAACATTAATATGATTTTTATATATATTAATGATATATTTTTTATACCTGTA